CTTAAACACTTTGTATATAGATACCTACAATTTGGAATTTTAAACCGTGGAGAGTGGGAAAACAGAAGGATAAGACAGCATGAATTGCCAAGTTGCGACTAAGAAATATACCAGGGCAACTCGAATCTCCAAAGTTGCAAGCTAAAAAATGCATAAGTACATTTTTAAAGCTATTAGGTGAACTTTCCTCAAGGTTGTATGCCAAGCAAGAAACAATTTCGAACTACTTCGTGCAGTTGACATGTTGCGCACAAGGGCAACACCATGAAACAGATGTAAGGGCCACTAGGAAGCAGGGTTTTTAGGGGGCTACAAAAATACAAATTTTGCTTTTTTTACCTTGGTATCTGTACTATTACGAGCAGCCGGTTAATATTTTGAGTAGCGTCCGACAGCTAATTCTGCACTGTTCCTCAGTAATCCCACAGATTTCTAACTAAAACATTTGCATCGGCGTAAGTGTACCATAACATTCTGAATTGAATGTGGTGTTTAGCTTTGATTCGACCATATTCATAAAGAAAAAAAAAATATAAGGTAGACACTAATGCGGTTTGTGCAGGCGAGTTACATTGCGAGAGGGACATGATTAATGGGGCTAATTGTGGCAATAAGTCAAATATTTAACTAATTAACTTCTTAGTTGGTACATATAAATATAATATTCCAATTAAAAAATTGCTGAGCGGCATCTAAAACCACTAAATCAGTCTATTTTAAATATATTTGAAGCACCGGGAAGTACAGGGAAATTTTCCAGTCGTGCAAAAGGCGCAGCAGGGATAACGGTCCAAAAATGAGTGAAAAAAGATCATCCGCGCTTCCGGACCGAGTGAAAACTTCAGCACGCCCTCGCGTTTAGCCTAGTGCCGCCAATCGTTTTAATATGATCAGGTTTAGAGGTTTTAGATGAAACTCAGCAACCGTTAGTTAAAATCATGTTTATTTGCACTAAAATGCTAATTTACTAAATTTAGCAAATTATCTTACTTACCGTGACAATTAACCCCTAGTATTAAGTTCCGCTGGCTGTATAACACACCTGCATAATCTGGATTAGTGCTCCAATCACAGCCTTTTAAAAATAAACCTGTTCGAACTGAACTCGAATCCCCTGTATGTAAATAGCACGGAGACACAACTGAGCCTCTAATCAATCAATCAATCAATCAATCAATGTTTATTAAAGTGTCCAGGAACAACCAATCGGTCTTAGTGCTGGCACACTAAAAAAAAATGAGCAAAAACACACACATACAAACACGCATATACACGAGTGCAGAAGGAGAACGTAGTTCTCCAGTCTGAGAATAAAAATATTAACAAGTATGAAAGACACTCAGATTAACAAGGGAAATCAAAAGCACAAAACAGAGACATCACCAGGTGTGAGAGCAAAAAGCAAATACTACATCAGCGCTTCAACTGATCAGCCCTTTTCCTGCAAGAGGAAGATTTGAACAGCATTTCCGAACTTGCTCCCGCATGAGTTAAAAATATCAATTGTGTCAGAGTAGCGATTATAACACTCCGCCGATCTTTGGATCGGGTTTAAGTTGCTAAAATGTCGAGCTATATAAAAAGATGATTGGAGCCGTGTAGGCACACGTGGAACTCTGAGGCTCACTTCGGACAGAAGGCTGGGAGAGTTAATCGAGCCGTGCAGGGTCTTAAACAAAAACAACAAATCTACCTTCACCCGACGCTGTTGGAGGCTCAACAAGTTGACAAGTTGCGAGTTACACACACCGTTCAGACAAGGATCACCATTCTCAAGGTAACGATATTTAAAGATAGAAATAAATTTGTTTTGGACTCGCTCGACAGATGAACTGTTAGTTTTGGAAATGCCGTTCCAAACAACCGAGGCGTACTCTAGCTGGGATCTAACTAAGGAACAATACAGCGTAAAAAAAGTGGACGGGCTTTTGAACTCCTTCGTTATACGAGACACGGCACCTAACGTGCGCAAGGCCGATTGAACCACTTTGATGACGTGAGTGTCAAATCTCAAGGTTGAATCAAAGACAACTCCAAGGTCCCTCAGTTCACTTACACGTGACAGCAGTTCGCCATGATAACTATATGGAAAGAATATATCATGGGTCTTGCGAGAATATGTCATTATTTTTGTTTTAGAATGATTCAAACGGAGGTCATTGTCTAAACACCAACGACCGAAGGAATATGCGTCATTCTGAAGCGCGATGCAATCCTCTAAGGTCGATATTTTTTTGTCAAGTTTTATATCATCAGCGTACTGCAGAAATGAAGAATTTAATATAACTCGAGAGACATCATTTACAAAAATATTAAAAAGGAGGGGGCCCAAGACAGATCCCTGAGGCACTCCAGAGCTTGCCTTGTACAAGGACGAGGTAGTATTGTTGACGCGGACGTAGGCTTGCCTATCAGACAAATAGCTTTTTAACAAATTGTATACCGAACCACATACTCCGTACGAAGAAAGCTTGTATAAGAGGATGTTGTGGTTGACTACGTCGAATGCCTTACTCAGGTCGAAATAAAAAACGTCAAGCTGACCTCTATTACAAACTACTTCAGAGGCAGCAGACATAAAAGATACGAGATTGGTGGATGTCGATCTGCCGGACATGAAACCATGCTGATTAGGAATAACTATACTACGAAACTTGAAGGAGAGAAATTGATGGATTACCATTTCAAAGGGTTTGGAAAAAGAAGAGGGAAGAGAAATCGGTCTGTAATTAAGAACATCACCACTATAATAATAATAATAATAATAATAATTATTATTATTATTATATTATTACTACTACTACTACTACTGGTAGTCTTCATTTTGTGTCCACATACAGCGCAGGGCCTTTTGTGTTGTACAGAGCAAATGCCGACAAGATAAAAGTATAAGCACTGAAAAACCATAGCTATCCCAAAACAGCACCCACCATACCAACGTATAACACATAGCAAAATCTGACAAGCAAGGTAAGGTGAGACACCCCATATTTCAAGACTACGTGGGGTACGTTATAGCACCCCATATTTCAAGATTACGTTTAGACTGCTGATATTTGCAGTAAATCAAGCTTGTAGTGACGTAAAGAACTGTCCCCAGAAACACGAATTATTTAATATTTCGGTAGGCCTTAATGACTTTTTAAGCCTAATTTGTTAGTCTACGAAATCGGCAGTATCAAAGTGGCTGCTCCCAAACCAACATGAAGAGAATCGTAAAACGCCAGCAAGGATTGCGTTTGTGTACTAGATATGAAACCGTGTTTGTTTAGGAATGAAGTAATAAAATTATTCAACAAGCTATTGATCAGTGGCATTTTTATGCAATAGTGGTTCACCTGCATGTTGGAAATGAACGTTTGATATGTGCCTGTTGATAGTAACTTGGTTTTTAATATTTTAAATACATTGGTATAATTCATTGGAGCTGTTTTGGTAATTTGTTCTTCAAATAGGAAGATTAAATGCTGTATAAAATATTGTAGGGCTGATATAGATTTTATACCAACTAACTTGCTTCCATTTTATGACTGTTGAACATGGTGTATGCAAAAATTGGCCGATAATATCTTTGTTTCATTTTAATGAAAAAGAAATATCAGGTAGAAGCATGGAGTAAGCCATAATAAAATTCGTAGTACTTTTTGCGGGTGCAAAAACTGGACGATAATCAACAGGAATGAAACTACATTTCATGCGCTCGTTTAACGCAGCATGAAATGCTGCGTGAAAGTTAGCAGTGGCGGAACGCGATACTGATCTAATCATCCGCGTTCTGCAGCTGCTAGCTTTGCGCCTGCTTCACGAGTGGTAACTTTGGTGCATCCCTGAGTTTTCCACGAGCTCCAAGTCGTTCTAACAAGAGTTGATTTAGTGGTTTTCGATTCCGCTCAGTAAGTTTCTATTTCAAACCATTTGTCTTTTTTCACTAATTAAAAATTTAATTAATAAGTTTTAATTAGTTAGCCGACTTATCGCAAAGATTTGCCAACCACATAATATCCCCCTGACCGTATAACTCACCTGCACAAACCGCATAAGTGGAACTTTCACGGCTTTTTAAAACAAATCTGTGAAACTTTATATATATATATATATATATATATATATATATATATATATATATATATATAAATATGCCCGTTCAGACTAATACGCAACGAGTCAAGATATATGCTGTACTAAAAACACGGTGAAATAATAGCCGTTGCGATTTCGGACAACCGTGCTGGATTGAAGATATAACAAACAAACGTCACTCAATGGCCTTTCACTTCGGAAGATACAATAAAGCATAGTAGCACATGCCAGCGCCCGTGCTTACAATATTTTATTTACATAATCATATAAAGCCATTTAGGTTAACTTACCAGGCGGTCATATAGGTAAACGGTCGAAAAAAAGGAATGAAAATAGGAAAGTTGTATTCCTCTTTCATGATGGTCATAATGTCATTTGAACGAAAAGTTTCAAGCTGAAGTCTCCAGCTACCTTCTACGCAGAACAACTCTTTCACATTAACGAAAGCACATGTAAATGCAGAAGTTTGTTTATTATTTTCAATCATATCTGTCAACTTACACAAATAGGGTCAACTTGTGTGCTTGACTGTCCCGTATCCTTGATACGATCTTGACAACCTTAAGTCCCCAAACACATCTCTTTGCAAATCACTCATATTTAAAATCTGTACCTTCTTATGACATATTTGTCTTTGGTGGCCAGAGACAGGATAAATGCAAGCCTGCAGTAAAGCAAAACTCTAAACTTGGTACACTCGTAGTTTTGTGATTATAACAATATGATGACTAACCGTCTATGCTGCGTTGATTCTGAACCAAATTAAATGCATGGGCAGTTAGTGTAAATATCTTACAACGGCAACCGATAGAGCTCCATAATCTACAGATGCATGATTATATTCCCAACGACAATAGATAGACGTGTTCACATTTCAAGAAAGGAAGAGAAAAAAATAATCTTCGTCGCCGTTTCCCGGCTTATTGGATGCCGAGAAGATCCTGCAGACGTCGCGCCAGGTTGGTGAGACCGCTGACCACCAGAGGCACTGTGGCAATCAGCGAGACCCCGAGCCACATGCTCACGTGGCCGGACAGGTAGAGCAGAAAGTCTGCAAGCTGAAAGAGCGTACCTCTGGTGTGAGCAACCCCGTCGTTCATGTTCGGCATGAAATGAAGATCCACACCGCATTTCACATTGATAGCTGTTATGGGCACTTCCTCCAACTCGAAATGATATACGGCGTAAAGCGTCCGTTGTCGATATCGTCGCGTGAAGTCGTAATAGCACGTAATGTTAGACTGCCATGGTGTCACGTGATGTCACGGTATCACATGACGTAAGGGCGTCACACGACATCACGGTATTACATCGCTTTATACTAGGGAGTTTTCACAGACCGCGTTTCCCCTTCCGCTAAGCCCTCCGCAACGAAGCATCCGCTACTGCGCCTGCGCGCCGATGACCTTGACTGTAGAGATTGGGATCGTAGCGGGTTGCGGAGAGCGTTTTGGAACGGCAAAGACCATCTACGAAAACTCCCTCACGTGTTGGCGCTAGTAGTCACATGACATTAAAGAGTTTTAGTAAATTCTTTTGGCCCTCCCGTTTCGCTATACGCCAAAGCGATGACGCTACTGCGGATGCGCGCTGTTACCAAAAACATTGCGGAGCTCCGGAAGCTAGCGGAGGCACGCTATCCGACCAAAATACCGAGGAGCGTAGAGCGGCGTGCTAGCGTGGGTCTCACAAATACAAGTCTTGGCGAAATCAGGGAAGGCCAGCGAGGGACGCAATTCAAGATGACCGCTGTCAAGATGGCCGCTGGCTCATCCGTTCTCTGCCGCTCTACCTTTTCAATTTCGGCGGCCGCGTACACCAAGACTCCAGGAACCCTAGCCATAAAATGTTCAGCCTTTCCACTCACGTGAAGAAGGAAGACCAGCGGAGCTTTACTCGATACAAAGTGTGCTTCTTCTTCGTCGTCGTCTGTTTTTCGCGCTCTTTCCTACGATGAATTCCCACCAACGCGCCCAACTATCCATTCTTCTATTATAACTGGAAAGGTTGCCGCCAGCTACGAGCGACGGCGGAAACCATACTGGTTGTGTGCTTCCCGCCGTTGCTAATAGATGGCGGTAGCTGTCCAGGTAGGTTTGTGTCGACATACCGGACACGATCCTGGGGAACCGAGCCCTTAACAGCTGCGCTGTAAAAAGCTTCGCTGTAAAACAATTGCAAAGAATTGCTTTACAAATCTTTGTTTTACGCAAGCCTTAGTGTCTGAAAGAGCCGCTAGTGGCGTTGCGTTAGCTCTCGCAATGATGTAATCTGTAGCGGGTTGCGAACGTTCTACTAAAATTTGAAATGGTGGTTTCCGCTACGCTACATATAGCGGAGATCGTAAAAGATTGTGGACAGCGTAGCGGGAGTGACTGAAAGATCTACTAAAACAATGTTGAGAATAGGCTGTCTTACTAGGCTCTGCATCCAGCGCGCGCCCATTGCGTTTCAGCGTGCTCTGACCGCGCGTGCACGCTCGGGGCTTACGAGACGCTGAAGTGTTACCGAAGGTAGGAAGCTCGTGCTGGAGGCGGGATAACTGAATCCCCTCTCTGCTGCTATGATCCATTCGGTGACTACAAATAGCTTTATCGTTATAAATGAGTGTGTCACGCTTTGAGCAGACATTGGTGATGGTTACTCTACGCAAGGTGCAAGGTACATAGGGTTACATTACGGCTCGATAAAATGTCGCAGCTGTCACTGCAACTATACTGTGGAATGGAACGAGTAATATTTTTTGTTACCCTGAATTAAAAATCTCATCAGCGTTATAGTCGGTAACAGGTGTGGAGTAAAATGGAAGCTGCACCTAACTTTCCCACTTTAGCAACGCGAGCGCTGGAGAGGGGGTTGCCTCCTCTCCAACGTTTGCTCTACTAATGTAGAAAGGTGGGAGAAGCTTCCACTTTACTTCTAACCTAAATATAGACATTTCGGCGAAACTCCGCCTGGTTAAATAAGCAATATAAAAAAGGTGTACTGTATACTGTAACCAATTTCTTCATCCTGCCCGACGTCTCGAAGCACGTCTTACCCCTTGAGTTAGCCGCCTCGGTGGCTCCGAGGCGAGAGCCACCGAGCCACGAATCCCCATGTGGCGGGTTCGAATCACGACCGAGGTGCCAGCAATCTGACGGAGGCCTATTGCGGAGAAGGCGCCGTGTAACCGAGCTTTCGGTTGCATGTCAAACGATCCCTAGGTGGTCTAAATTAATCCTCAGTCCTCCGCTGGGGCGTGCCAGATGCCCGTCGTTGGTTTGGCGCGTAAAACTCCCAACTTTGACTTTGACCCCTTGAGTACGTTTTCCCTCATACTCCTTCTGTTTCTACGTTACGTGGAGGATTGCTTTTCTCTTGCTTAAGACCAGCGAAGTCGACTGCCTTCATAAACACTTCGATTCCATCGAACCACAGATTCAATTCACAGTCGAACGTGAGTATAGTGTTCTAGAGGGGGTTGTAGTGGCAAGAGCGGCGACCACTTTGTGAAGATTTTGCGCGTAGACGACACCATGGCGCTGCTGTTCTGTGCCCTAGGAGCGCGCCCCCGTCAGCCCCATCATCAGCGCTGTTCGGCGCTTACTACTGTGGTTTGACTGGAGATTTTCGCGTGCGAAACAACTGCTAATGTTGTTCTGTATACTCTGTTTCACCTTATGAAGTACCGCAGGAAATGCTACAAGTGCGAGCTCCTTGCTCTGGGGCACATCTCGGCGGCACAAGGTCTCGTGAATTAAGAGCAGCTGCCAACGCTATGAGCTCGCGCTTCTAGCCTTCGCTGCGGTAAAACATAAGGTGAAACGAAGTATAGTAAATTGTAGTTCTGCCTTTGGACTAATGCCTCTAGGGTGTGTGCTATCCTCTACTTGAAATATTCGCGTGTTTTGAGGGAGATTATTTAATTAATATCGACTCCCCCCCCCCCCAGTACTGACAGATCGTTCAGCAACGCTATCACTTGGGCTGCAGGCTCAATCTCTGCGAAAGAAGTTCTACGGTGCTACATTTTGGAGAAGCGTACCGCGTCACCTTCGTCGTCTTCGTTCATCGCACACGTGCCATTAATTCTCCTAGGGCACAGAACTCCAGCGCCACTCGCGGTATCTACGTCGACCGTCTTCACGCGCTTCATTGTAAGCGGGCGCCACTCTTGCCACTACACCCTCTAGAACACTGTAACGTGAGTCTAACGGTTGACTTCCATTTCTGGATGTGTCCGTGGAAAAACACAGGAAACAATTTAATCTTTTATGTATATAAAAAATGGTGAGCTGCAGCAGAGGCTTTATTTTCGACGTTTCGAACAGAGCCTGCTCTGCTTGAAATGTTAAAACTAAAGCCTCTGCTGCAGCTCACTGTTTTAGAGCGCAGCTCTTAGGCACCCGTTTCCGGCTTGAGCGGCGTCGCCGTCGGCGTAACCAAGGTCACTCCAAGGTCACGCGACCCCCCAAGGTCACCCCAAGGTCATGTGACCCCTCTCAAGGTCGTCCCAAGGTCACGTGACCCCTCAGGTCACGTGACCCCCAGAGATCACGTGACCCCTCCCAAGGTCACCTCAAGGTCACGTGACCCCCCAAGACCCCCTACGTTACCCCCACGTCAGGTCACGTGGCCCCCTCCTTGAGGTCACGTGACCCCCCTCTCCCCGAGGTCATGTGACCCCCTCCCCCCTGAGGTCAGGTGACCCCCCCCCCCGGAGCATATTAAAGAATGAGGGGAGGAGGAGTAGAAGGAGGAGGAGGGGTCTACCAACCCCTCAGTACCCTTCCCTCCTCCTCCTCAAGAGCTGCGCTCCAATTCGGCATTACAGAGAGTTGTAAACGGCTTTCTCTTTTTCTATGTCTGATAGTCTCTTGGTGAATGATTGCTTATTAATGTCACATTCAACTGGGCCGCACGCAGCACCGAGAAAATGCTGCCCCCAAGGCCGCGCCACCGCGCGGGTGCAGCGTATGACGCACTACCAAGTGAACACGAAACATTCCGCCGTGCAACGCGCTTGGCGCGGTCACTTCAAGGGCAAAACATAAACGGGTGGACCATTGAACAAAATCCGCCGCAAGTGGGGTGGCGGCGCGCGCCATCTAGCGAGAGTCGGGATCTCGGAGGCCATGGTTACCGAGACGAGGCAACACCGACGAGGAAGACGAAGCGAGGGAAAGGAGGGGCCGAAGGTGGCGGAGAGCGGTAGCTCAAGGCCGCACCGGCCCGCCGTGTGCGAAGCTGCACGGTCTCCTTTCGACGGTGCAACTGGTGCAGCAACGCGCCGGTGTCGTGCGCTGCACCAAGTCCCAAATGAACGTAGTGCAGCCGCACCGGCACGGCCATCTGAACGCGACGCGTCCGTCGGTGCAGTGCGGTGCGGTGTGGTGCGGCCCAATTGAATGTGACATACTATTTTGGATCTTCCAATAATACAGGAAAGCAACGAACACGCGTCACTACCTGAACTTCGCGTCACCACCCCACAACTCGCAAATCCTCGGTGGTGTCAACGCTCTTTCGACATGTCGTCACGGTCTGTTCAACAAAGGATTCACTCAGAATGAAAGTCGATCGTATAAAACAAAATCCCAGAAAAAAAAAAGCCACAAAAAACTACCCATTAAGGTTTGTTAACAAGTTATACAATAAAATACGTTACCCTCCTGCTGCCAAGGACAAAAACACCTCCAGTCAAATGTGCATTCTGCACCTCCGTGGGAAACTGAGGTCCTTGACCGCGCTCTGAAACCGTAGGGCATCGTAGATACGGATAAGCCCTCCTCAACCATAGGCCATTTTCCAAAGGATCGTCCCCCAAAAGAAAAAAAAGCTCAAGAACCAAATTCCTCGTGCTAAATGTGACGTACGCCTTGTGTATGGGGAAAACGAAAAACTTTCGCGGACGTCTGCGGAGACATAAGTATGACGTGAAGAAGAAAAACATCTAAGGCAACGCGCTGGCGAAACATGCTGTGAAGACCGGCCACGGCATCGTCTTTGACAGCAGTTCCATCCTCGACAAAGAAAGAAGCTGAAGGAGACGGCTCTCGTTATATTCTTGGCATATAGAAAATACGAAGAACCTGAACCGATCCAGCGGAACGCTGCCCGGCAGCTACAAACACAGGCCACGATGCGCCACACACGAAAACAAAAGAAGAAAACATTGTCGAGAGAAATCAGAAGGTAACGACATATTGCGACCTTTGGTCCCACATACAGTCATCCGTGAACAAGGAACTGAGCCGGCTTCGAAACGTCGGGCACGATGGAGAAATTCGTTAGTGTCTATGCGGAGGGCAAGTTCGTCTGCTTCTTGCGCAGGGGGTAGCGGTGATGTCAGAACGCCGAGCCCTGATTGGCTGATCGCGACCCCCTATCTGAGCGTCGTCTGCTCCTTTGCAACGTCGTCTGCTCGCAACGTCGTCTGCGTCTGTCTTACCTTTCCTGCGACTTTCGGAAGGGCAGAGGCTAGATTCGCGAAACGATCTTACGCCAAAAATGTGCGTAAGACAAAACTTAAGAACAAATTCGTATTCACGACACGAAATTTTCGTAAGTTTTGCGAAGGTTACGACGAAATCCTACGACAGCTCCGAAGCTGTCTTACGCACTTCTCGATCAAATCAGCATGGCCGACGGCGTCGCCGTCGCGACGTCCCACGGACGTTTATTTTTCTACGTGTGCTTCTGACGCGTCCCGACTTCAAGCAGCAAGAAAAAAGTAAAAAGTACTTGAAACAGACCACGACGAACAAAAACGCTGGATCCACAAACACCCGGGAAAAGCTCCACCGAACGCGACCAAACGAGCTGGGCAGTTAGGCCTAGCAGGCACTCCGCGACTCGGCGACCGTCTGCCCACGACCGGCTGGCGTGCTGAATGGAATATGCCCGCGCGACCCTTGTGAACCCTTCCCGTATTATACTTTGATCGCTGACCTTGAATTTTAGATTAAGAGGTCAATTTCTTCCTCTTGTTATCTCCTTGCTTCCCGAGGCAACGGTGACTCTCGCCGGTGAAAAAGCGGTGAATCTCCGACAGACGCAGGAAAGGTAAAGCAGCCATCGCTTTGACTAGCAGACGCAAAGCAGACGACGTTAACTGCGCCAACCCGCCGACGCCGTTAAAGAGTGAGGAGTCTCGCCGCACACGAATGGAGGGAAACATGCCCTTAACACGCTCACCTCTCGGTTCTAAACAAACAAACCTCGGCACCTCGGGACACCTCGCCAGTGAGTCCTTTGACTTCCCTCCTTGATGCGCGTCTGCTAGACAAAAACAACGTACCGCTCGAGTTATTTCGTCTACCCTCTCTTAAAGGCGAAGTCGAGCTCGCTCCGAAAGTCGCAGGAAAGGTAAGACAGACGCAGACGATGTTGCGAGCAGACGACGTCGCAAAGGAGCAGACGACACTGAGATAAGGGGTCGCGATCAGCCAATCAGGGCTCGGCGTTCTGACGTCACCACTACTTCCTTTCTCATGCGCAGAAGACGAAAATGAGCCCACTTGCGAGGCGTATAAAGCACCCCTTTCATATTTAAGTTAACTTGTCACCGTATACAGTGCGAACAAGACATCGGCGCTCTTATCGCATTCTGTAGAGAATATATATTGCTGGGTACCAAAAGTTAACCCTGATGTTTTTGCCCTAAATGACCACTTTCCACCACGCTTACTAGCTTCGATGACAGCCGTTACATTCTAAAACAAGATGATTTAGCAATCGCTTTTTGACGCAAACAGTGTCGAGCAATGGACAACATACACTTCAGTTTGACATAGTTAAATGTTAAGTTGACTGACGGACGTTACCGGCCTAAAGCAGTCGCGTACAAAACAAAAATGAAGGGTCATGCCGAAATCGCTGTGTGTGATTGGTTTAGCCGGTGTAATCAAACGCACAAGGACAGTGAGCACAGCGCCATGACGACGCACTTTCTGCGCTGCTTGAATGGATCTATCAGAGAGTAGCGCCAATGTAGACAGACTTAATTTGAAAAGGAGTATATACCCCTCAATACGAATTCACTTTATACTTCCGACATCACGAAAAAAAAAAAAGGAACATTTCTGAGCGCTTTTTTTTATCAAGATTGGCATCCGTGGCAACACAGCTCCGCCAACTTTCCAATGTGTCCCCACCGTGGATGTTGAGCGAAGCGTTGATTTTTTTGTGGGCGGAACCTCTCTGGCACTTTTTATGTTACAACAGGCTAATAGTGACAGGATCAAGATGCGACTCACCGTCATCCTCGGCAGGTTTCTTACAATTTTCCGTTTAGTGGAGCCAAGAACAACCGTGAGGTCGGCCTCAGTGTTTCTGGGCAGATCGAAACAATTCTTTGAATTCTACTGATACACGGCAAATAAGTACCGCGTACTGTCTCATCTCACACTGACAGTTACAACTTAAAAAAAAAAAAAAAAAAAAAAAACTATGAAGAAAAGGAGTCCGCTTGTCGTATTTCCCAAATTATTCGTCGAAGGGGGTTGAGGAAGCAATTAAATAACATGTAATCGCTACAGGCTGCGGACGTTCGACGACCATATTTTTCTTGAAATGCAGAACACAGTTTGAAGTGATATTTTCATCCTTAATGCAAAATATATACCGGGTGCTTTTTTAAGCATTACAAATTCGAAAAATATAGAAGCCGTCAAAGCCACAATAATGCATCTGTGGAAGGGAGTTATACGGACAGGTGACGTAATGTAGGGGGCATATCGTCCCCTTATGTAGTCTGCGAAAACACGATTGATAAGAATATCATTCGGCCTTCCGCACCACCAGCTTTGCACTTGTAACACGTGTGGCAACTTTAGTTCACCACTACGTTTCTTCAGCGCTTGAGATCGTTCTGAAATGTACTGACTTCGTGGTTTTAGATGACGCTCAGCAAGCTTTAATTAAAATCATGTTTATTTTTAGGGATTGAGAAAGTGATTTAACAAACTTTATTTAATTGTCCGCCTTATTGTGACGGTTGTTTGGCGTATTGTGTCCCCCGAGATGCATAAGTCACCTGCACAGACTGAAATATCAAGTTCTTTTTTTAAACAATCTGCGAAGCCTAAAAAAATACAAAAAAAGAAACTTGTATATTTCATATCTCCATTTACCTTGTAGTTCTAAGTGACATTTATTTTTATATAAAATGAGCTTTTATAAATAAAATCCTCCAAACGGAAACGTTAAATATCTACGCGATTTGCTAAAATGAAACACGGGGTCGAAAGCCAAGCGATTGACGGTAGATTTTATAGTCTATCAAGACACCACAACAGTTACGTTTAAGGAGGAGGAGAAAAAAAAACGCAAATAAAGTGTTTAAACAGACAAAAAATCTCACTCGTATCTGTAATAGTCCTTGATGTAGCCCGTCTGAAACATCAGCCCTCGGTACCGGGTGTCTCTGCAAGAAAAGTCGTGGTGAAACGTATTTCGTGTATTATACACGTTTGCGAACAGCCGCGCTTCGAGAGCTAGTCTGGCTACCGGGGATAGAAAAGGCTTTCTTTCGGTATGGTGCCTGGAACGTGTCTCCGACTGATGTGTCTAACGCGTTCAAAAATGTGGTCCCTCGATTTCCACCTGATGACGTAATAGAAGACTCATGCTGTCGCCAGTCGTTATCCTGGTGGCGTCTCAAGACCTGTAGGGCATGTGGCAGATGCCTTTTCAGCTGCAGGTCGCTCTTTAGTGTGACAGTCCAAGGAAGCTTCAGCAGCCAGAAGTTGGGACGCCGTGAGGACAGCGACACTCGCGTTCGGTCGTGCTACTCGCAGTGTATCGTCGGCATTTCTACGACCAACGGCCAGGGTCGCGACATGCAACAGCATGGCACTTCGGCTTCTGTGACGTAATTTGGTGTGACTTCGGGACCATTTTCGATATATGGGTAGCATAGTACGCTAAACACACCAGTCGAGGACGCGCTCCAGGCACCATAGGTTTAGGCGACAATCTGGAAGCCGTGTGAACGCCCCAGCAATCCTTGACTAGCAGACGGTCTATCCACTTCAGCAGCAAGATTGCGGTGCCCAGGCGCCGTGCTTGCAAACATCTATTCGCACAGACAGCTTAAGAAATACGGTCTATGAAAATCACGCTTTATCGTTTCGTGATTGGCGTTTCAGCGTTGTTATCATGCGGATGCCTCAATCGTATTGGCTGTGAAACGGTAATGAAATGCTCGGCATTAAACACCCCCCGCGCTTTTTAAAGGTGGTTACTCCGGCGTTTTCTTTATAGTCCTCGATTGGCCTGAACATTTGCTAAACACACCAACAAAGATCGCTGAAAAAATAACCCAAATATTGGGCCAAAATATTTTTTTTTTCGCGAAGTTATGCGAAGAGCAAGTCGTCTGCTTCTTGCGCTGGGGTTGCGGTGAGTTCTGATTCGCTTCAATTGAAAAGATAGTGAGTAGACCTCAGTCCTAGATGCCTTGAGGTCTACCCGCTATTTTCGTTTTTCAGCCGGCCAATAAGGGCTCGGCGTTCTGACTTCATCGCAACCCCCGTGCATGAAGCAGACGAGCTTGCACTCCACATTGTATTTACAATTTTGATTCTCACTGTGTTTTTCAAAACGAAAGTTTCTACTGGTAGCAGTGTAAAAGTGACGTCAGGGGAAGCCGAGGGTTCGGTCTTTGAACTGTAGACTTTTCTCCCAACTGATTGCAAGCAGTTTCATGGTGTTAAGGGAATGCTCATGAAGCTCGCTCCAGCACGGAAAAAGGCTTGGCACATAGTTGATTGTTAGACTGCTCGTTGCACCCGCTAACCTGCCTTCCACTGACGTCACGGCACTGAAAAGCGTGAGTATATTTGAATGTTTTGGTTTCAGCATCGTTTTCCCGTGTCAAGTTCACAATAACTATTCTGAATTTCGTGATACAAAATGATAAACCGGAAAGTGTAAAAACCGGTAATTCTAAAAAAAAAAAAAAAAAGTTAGTTCGGAGAACTAAAAAAATCGCCGGAGTACCCCATTAAAGCTCTCGTTAAATATACGAGACTCTTTTTTGAATATTGCAGAATAGAAGGTGCGTGTTTTTTGGCAGCGCTTACCTACAGCCTCTGGTACACTCGTCCTGGCACAGGTGAAACCACCGATGTTGGATCAATTCGTCGATACAGCGCACTGCAACAAACAATTCCCAGTATATATATATATATATATATATATATATATATATATATATATATATATATATATATATATATATATATATATATATATATATATATATATATATATATATATTTCAGCAAAATGTTTTAGTGTAAATTGAATCTATACTTTTCCCCCTTAACTTCGGGAACAGTCGACTCAACGAGCCCATGGGGCAATCAAATAGCGCCAAAAGTGCCACGTCATGATGTTCGTCACGTTTCTGTATGCCTTCTAAATCGCTAATCCGATCACGTACTGGAAAGGCCCAGTGACTTCGCTTTTAGTATGTGTGTTTGTCGCTATGTGTGTTTGTGCCAGCGTTGTAGGCGTTGCGAAAAAAAAGCAACGAAATACGTTACTCACTACTTGCCAAATAAAGGAACGCGTTACCGTCCTACGTTACCTCAAAATAAAAGGAATGCGTTACCGTTACCGATAAAACCTAACCCGCGTTACTCTTGCGTTACTTTTAATCATAGATTGACGGTAACAGCGTCAGCGTTTATCGACAGTGACACAATGGGCGTGGGCGTTGGGGTTTTTCTATAGTTCGCCTTTTTGCGTGGGGAAAAGACATGCAAAACCTTGAAGGTATGTGGTATTTGTGTAATAATTAATGACTCGGCCAAATGTGGGTGTTTTACGTGCCAAACCAACGACGGGCATCTGGCACGCGCCAGCGGAGGACTGAGTATTAATTTCAGCCACCTGGGGGACCTTTTGACGCGCAACCGAAAGCTCGGTTACACGGCGTCTTCTCCGCAATAAGCTTCCGTCAGATTGTGGGCATCTCGATTGGGACATAGAGAAATATAGTACTACGTAAAAAGTGGCCACTCAAGCCGTTTCGCGGCCCAGGAGTTAGGGACTCTACTGGCCGTTAGTAGGCGCAACAGTGCCACTTATTCTGAACATTTTTCGGATATATAATATTAATAAATAACTTCGTTGTAAAGAGTAAACTTTTAAAATTATTACGAACTTTGAAAACTTTCAAAAACGGCTTCAACGGCTGTGGCTATGGCTGCGGCGCGACGGTTGGCTTCGTAGTCGTGGTCGTGGACCCGACGGAGGGCGGTTACTTCGGCTGCTTGGTCTGTGTCTCTTGCCTCGTTTTGTGAGTTGAGTTGGTTCCGCAGCTTGGTTGTCTCGTGCGGGTTCCTAGTCATTCTTCCATTGCGGTCATGGTATACGGTATACGTAAGAAGTATTGTGACTGTAATTTCTTTGTTCGCGGATGTCACTGAATTTAGAAGCTGCTGGGGCAGTCATATAGGTGCAAGCGTCTTTCAGCACATGGTTATATGTGCAAGCGCCTTTCATGGAACTTGGACGGTAATTTTTTTTAAATGTCCTCCATCATATTGCATTTGTCGCTGTAAGTCTCGCTGTAATAGTACTTTTTTCCAGTGTACATCTTTCTTTTCTTCATTTTCACTTCCACCTTGTCGTTCTCTAGATGCTCTATTAAATTTGACAGATGTAAGTAAGCGCTCTGTCGTGTTTCCTCCTTCCCTTCTTAGTCCTTTGCGCTTTTTAAAACCACCGTCTAGATGTTCTACCAACTAGCCCCCCAATTAATTCTGGTACAACTGTTGACGCGTTATTAATACATTTTGCATCTGTATTCTTATTTTTGTAATGTATGAATAACATGCATCACTTCTTGTTTTCAGAGTTGATGTTTGTTTTGCTTGTCATAGTTACAAAAATAAATACTTTTGTGTGTCAAACCCTGGTGTCGTCTCATGTCGTCCCTTCAAGAGAGTTAGCACGAACGCGAAAATAACCTTTTCGGTCTGCGGTCAGTTTGAATTATTTTTAGCGCTGGATGACTTTTCTTCTCGAGTACAATTAAGGTATGCTGATAAAAAAAGTTCTGTTCTAAACAAAAACCATGCTAGTTACAATAACACTGACTCGTTAAACTAGAGGGCGCATGCTACTGCCCAATACAAAAATGCCGCCAGAACTCGCCTTGAATACAAAAATGCCGCCAGAACTCGCCTTGAATCCATTCATTCATCTGGCCAGCGGTTACTGCGTGTATCCATCCATTCGACACTCAACTAGGGACTATACTGGCCGCTGGGAGCGCTCGCTGACGCTGAATTGGACCGCTGGGGCCTATGGAAGTGTCCGCTCTTTACGTAGTACTATATTTCTCTATGATTGGGATTCGAACCCGCCACCTGGGGGCCCGTAGGCCGGTGCTTTGCCTCAGAGAATTAATGACTCGGCGCCCATTCTTCGTTGCAGCTTAAGTCCGGATGCAGCCTACGCTACGAGCTAAAGGAGCCAATAAAGCAGCGTCAAAAGCGCGAGTCACGGATCATTTGTTTTGTTTACGATTGGTTCAGTGACGATAGAACGTGTACAGAAACATGAGGTACACCATGATGGTGCCCTTTTCACGCAGGCCGATTGGTTCCATCAGCTCGTAGCCTCGGCTACGTCTGGACGTAAGGTAAAACAAAGTATAGAAGCGCGAAAACATTGAAGTGTACTTTTCTTCGGGTCTTGGGAAAAAGATGTAACGAGTATAGCGTAACTACGTTACCCGTTGATAAGAAACGTAAGTAAGTTCCCCGGTACTATTTTGGAAAAGTAACGAGTACGTTACTACGTTATCGAAAAAAGGAACGCGTTATCGGTAACGCCGTTACTAGTAACGCGTTACTGACAACACTGGTTCGTTGCTACGACTGCGCTGGAACATACGATGACATGAAGTATGACTTTCATTTCAACGCGGCACAAGATAGGTACGTATAAAGGTAACACGAAATTGTACGTAGTCCACCATGGAGCAAAATGTGAATCGTAGTACTTCCAGCGAATGAGACAAGCGCGCAAGACGCCTAGACTCAGTAGCGGGGCGTTTCGCACGTTCATTGCTCGAGTACTTATTTATATTATTAGTTAAACTATGTTTGCGCCTCGTAATTCGATTGGGTTTCGCAGATCGCTACGAATAGATTTTTGGGATCTGCGAAGAAAGTACTATATTCACCAGGCTTGGACAGAGATACCATAAAAAGCATTTGGAAATACGAATACTGGGATGGCGTGGGAAAGACGCCTAAAATAATAATACTAAAATGCATATATAAAACGGAATCGCGATACCCATCAAAAATACATTTGAAAGATATAAAGCAGGGGTGGGCAGTATTTCAAATACAAGTATTTGAAATCCGTATTGTAAATACTTTTTGCATTTGCATTTGTATTTAATTACAAATGGGGTATTGTATTTGACGTGTGTATTTAAATACTAAAACGTCGGTATTTGAAATGCAATTGTAATTAACTACAATTTTGTGGGCGAAAATACATGCTTCAAATTTATTGTCACTGTCCAGAGCAGGAAGAAAACTACGTTCTGCACCGAATGCAGTGTCTCTCAATCAGGGATGGGCAGTATTTCAAATACAAGTATTTGAAATACATATTTCAGATACTTTGTGCATTTTGCATTTGTATTTAATTACAAATTGGGTAATGTATTTGACGTGTGTATTTAAATACTAAAATGCGGGTATTTCAAATACAGTTTTAATTAAATACAATTTTGTGGGCGAAAATACATCCCTGAAATTTATTGTCACTGTCCAGAGCAGGAAGAAAACTACGTTCTGCACCGAATGCAGTGTCTCTCAATCAAGCACAAGCGTTTAGTGACTTTGTGATTACGGTGCTAGTCCAGGGCAAGAATAGTGACGAAATCGACGTTCACAGGCAGACTGGCTAAATAAGTGCCTTTGACAACTTGTGAAGCTTTTCAGCCTGATTTCCACCCACATTTTTGCCTGGAACATTCTAAATGCGCGGGTCGTCCAGATTTTTGCAACTGTTGCGAGTTGCAACAATAAAAATTCTCTAGCTAGTGCTGCGCGTCTTGGTCGTCTCGGTTCTCTGTAGGTCTCTACCAAAATCTAATCGACAAAAAAAGCTGCTTGAAGCTTTGTACTTTTTTCACCTATTACGTCCAAGCTGATTAAATTTTTTGTGATTATATTTCTATTACGTTACTAGAGCCTCGCACACTAACTCCCGAGCGTGCGATGCAAAATTAAAATAGAGATACCCAGAAACCCGTTGCAGGTGCCCTGAAGTCGCTGACGCAAATTTTGAGGAATGTATTTGGAAAAGTATTTGGAGGAGACCAAATATATTTGGTTGTATTTGTATGTTGTACTTAAATGCTTTTTTGGAAATGTAATTAGATTTGTAACTAAATACATTTTTGATGAAGTATTTTGCATTTGTATTTCGATACATGTTTGCATGTATTTTGCCCATCCCTGCTCTCAATCAAGCACAAGCGTTTAGTGACTTTGTGATTACGGTGCTAGTCCAGGGCAAGAATAGTGACGAAATCGACGTTCAGAGGCAGACTGCTTAAATAAGTGCCTGTGACAACTTGTGGTGCTTTCCAGCCTGATTTCCATCCATATTTTTGCCTGGAGCATTCTAAATGCGCGAATCGTCCAGCTTTTCGTAACTGGTGCGAGTTGCAACAATAAAACATTTTGTAGCTAGTGCTGCGCGTCTTGGTCGTCTCGGTTATTTGTTGGTCTATACCAAGATGTAATCGACAAAAAAGCTGCTGGAAGCTCTGTACGTTTTCCATTTATTACGTCCGAGCTGATTACATTATTTTGTGATTTTATTTTTATTACGTTACTAGAGCCTCGCACACTAACTCTCGAGTGTGCGATGCAAAATTCAAATGAGATACCCGGAAACCCGTTGCAGGTGCCCTGAAGTCGCTGACGCAAATTTTGAGGAACGTATTTGGAAAAGTATTTGGAGGAGACCAAATACATTTGGTTGTATTTGTATCTTGTACTTAAATGTTTTTTTTTGTTAATGTAATTAGATTTGTAATTAAATATATTTTGACGAAGTATTCTGTATTTGTATTTCGATACATATTTGCATGTATTTTGCCCATTCCTGATATAAAGTGTATTTGAAAATACAAATAGAAAATATATTTTGTTTGTAGAAATACAGGTAGTGGAATACATTTGGTCAAAAAGCAACTTTTAGATGTCTTCATAATGCGTAGGACCGGTTGTGCGCACCCACTGGTGTACAGGAAAAAATGAAACCTGATCTACATTCATTTTGTGATATTTGTTAACCCACAAACGAGTACTCAGTCTAGAATTTTAACTTTTACGTTGTTGCGCCCGAAATATATAAACGACAAATTTAAAAGCGTAACGAGGTACATCCGGCCTTGGTAGTATCGCGATACCAGGAATAGACCCCAAAATATATTTCGATACAGAAATACAAAATACAGTAGAAACATTGTATCGCGATACAAAAATATGAATGCATGATGTATTTCTATAACACTATCGCGATACATTTGTATCGATACATTTGTACGGAGATACTGCCCAACCCTGCTACTCACGCGCCTAACAATAGTACTTCAGTCTTCCAAAGAGGTGCATTTGGCGCTTTTGATAATCGATATAGATCGATAAAAAAAAACGTTTAGTCAGAAATGTGTCAATTCTTGTTTTTGTGTGCGACTGTGTCTGGGGCGGTAAGATGACAACGGGAATTCACGAAATACTCACTGTGGGGAACGTATTCGCAGACAGCTCCTTTCATTCTGTGTTTGACGGCGTACATTTTAGAGAAACAGCCGCAGGAGTCTATCCATTTTTGGGCCACGCAGTATTCGCTGCATTCCTGCAGTCACACGAAATTGTAGTAAGATAGACATTTCGGAAAAACACTTCCACGGCGCTCAAGTTGCACACTTTAAATCGACTTGAAAGAAGTGTTTGTTTCCGTCAATTATCGAATTGCAAAACCAAGCCGGCGATCTAGGCTTCTTTCGACTACAAGGCCGGAAGATCGGTAATTCGATATCGACGGGAAACTGTATCGAAGACGAGGGCGCGCGCGAAGATGGTGGCCAATTTCGTAACTACTCTGGTGAAGGAAAAATACAAAACAAAAACAAAAAAGTATGATTTTATAAAAGTGGAATAGACCTGAGGTATTTGGTTTAAATAACATTTGTTTTATTTAAATCACTAATTTGATTTAGACGGATGTATATATTCTCTTGGAAAACCTTTCTTGGCAATGCAGAACGGTACAGGTGCGCACACCATCTCCCATTTTTAACGCTGATTAAAGCTGTGCGCGCAGTCTGCTCCTTTCCTCGGATATGCCAAGAAAAGTTGCCCTCGAGTATAGCACGACGGGATTCTCTTTCACTATATCCTGATAGATTGATGGAACAGTGTTTTATTTTTGAAAACAACACAGGAGAAAGGATTATTATATATTTAAACGTTTAAATAACAACTTCTCGCAAGGAGGGAAAGAAATTTGTCCCAATTTCAGGTGTTCTTTCAGTGAACTTTCTCTTGATGTAAAGCTGCCACACTAGAAGAAACGCGGCTTATTTATTTATTTTGTGAAAAATCTTTATTTGCATTTTGTTTCGCGTTTTTTTTTTTTGCTTGCGATGGGACGTTTTTGTCTTAATTTCTTTCCTTCTTGGTTTGATTAGCTTGCAGTAGGACATTACGTAACTGACAAACGAAGTGGACCGTGTAAAAACAAAGTCCAACGCTCTAATTTTTTTACATGTGTTGCTCGTGTTCTAAAATCTTGAAATCTTTGTTACTTGAAGTTTACACGATTTAAATAAACAGCAAGTGCCCATCAAAAGCATCCAATAACAGACAAACAGTAAATAAAAAGTATTTTGACGATAACTTTTGCTAGAAAGGTTTTATTTATATAATGGTAGTAACCGGCACGATTTGAACCATGATTTAAATAATTTTGATTTTTATCCTACGCGCAGCTCTGGTGTGTTGGGTTTTTATAATTTGATTTACTATATACTAGGAGACACACTGAGAAGCGTATGCAAGTTATGCTTCCCGCACACTCTCACGTTCATTTGAACAAGCAAGAAAACTTACTATGGGATGCTCTATTATCTTGAGTAAAACAAAACAAAAAAAAAAAAAAAACAGGGGAAAAAATAACACCAGTTTCTACTACATGGGTGTTATAACAGAGTGTGCCAACTGTTAGTGGGTTGTATCGGTCAAAGCTTATAAAAATACCAGATATCTACGTACGCGTTTAAAATACGACATAATTAAGAGTTTAAGCCAGTTTAAGTGATGACATACCTTCCTGCCTTACGTACTTATTGTGGAGCACGTTCAGTTTTAATCTATTTGTATTTCGAAGGTAACGGATTTAGTCACAAACCTCTTCTTGAATTTCTTTATCGTCATATAGAGATTCGTCCGCTGTGGCAGCATAGTCAATGCACCGAGTTTCATAAGGCAGCGGCAATGAAACCAGCTCAGTCTGAAAAATAGAAACATATAAAGCAGGAAAGCAGGAACATGCACACGAAACGTAAAACTATACTGATCTCAGTCGCGAGAGAACGTCAAATGTTCAAACCAGCGCGTTGTATCCGTTAAAGTTTTTTGGCGCTTTATCATATTGTCATGTACCAGCTATCCGACTTGCGCATGCTAATGCACGTGAGATGTGTTTATGATAAGTCACTTATCGTAAGTCTAAATTAAGCACAATGCCAAGGCGCTGGAACGCTAACCTCTTGCCGATTCCTTACCAGACGGATCTGACAAAGTTGAATTTAACCTTCTCATGGTTTTTGAATAAGGAACTTAGGAATGCCCAATATTGAAAACGCATAGATCTGGACCAAAACAGTTAAGATATAATTATGACGCCCAAACCCCACACTCAGGAAATAAATAGATAAACATTTATTTCTTATACTATTCACGTTCCTCGTCAGTAAATAGTGCTTTGAATGGGCCTTCGGAAAGAAAAAAAAATAGTATAACCGCTAGTGTCAAGTCCAATTTCGAAACAGTATTTCGACCTATCCTTTAGATAATCACTTTAACACACACACACACACACAAAAAAAAAAACATCTTGTAAATACGGCTGAAAAAAGAAAACAACCTTAGCTACAGGGGCCCAACTGTACGCTTTAGCGTACTCATTGATACTTAAAATGCGCGAATCATTATGTAAGTTTTCAGCCGATATTTAGAAACATGACAATCAGCGCACCTGCCCCACCGAGATGGTGTATTTCCTGCCTGCCTGGAATCGGAACGTGTGGATGATCCCAGAAGTGTAGCTGCTGGTCGAGTGCACCAAGGCAGAGAACGCCATGTTCTCGTTCCTCCGGTCTTTCGTGTCCGCTCTCACCCGAAAATTCAGCCCTGCACGAAAATGAAATTTCCGAATAATTATTTAATAAACTAGATAATTTATTTATACATTCATTCACTCAATTGATTATTTTGTGTGCTTATGAGCAGCCGATGCCTTGGTAATGATGCACAAACAGCGAGATTAAACATTCGCCAGAAGCAATTTAAATGCTAAACAATTCGGGTTAAAAATATCAATGTCTGCTGCACCGAGGGTGTTATAAAGGTGTCGTATGCGGATCCTGGGACTAATTGATATGATTTGATTTACAAAGAAAAGAAAGGGAAGCTAAGAAAGCTTGCCTCTGAACGCGAACATACATATAGATAACGTGATGCTAAATCAACGAAAGCGGCTCGGTAGAAGTTAACGTGAAACCGACTAATATTTATGAGCTGAAGGCAAAAATAGAACAGCTCAGAAATATAATTCTCGTGTTCAAAACAAGGGTTATATTCTAAGGAGGTAAAGAAAGATGATAACAAGTAGCCATTTAAGTTAAGAAAAAGCCAAAATTCAAGATTTTAGTTATTAGATTTAAAACAAAAAAAATTAAAAAAACTTAAAATACCTGACAACGCTAATCTTTTCGAATATTTGCAACTACCCAACTTGCAAACCCTTTATGTTCATTCAGTGGTATTGCGGCACTTTTGGAATTCTGATTTCAAAATCTTAAGCCCACCCACACGTGATCTTCGACATACTCACCCTTTTCACATACCTTTTTCCCGCACTCGTTGTGGCGAAAGTACGCGTGCGTTTTATGTGCCATATATTTTTTCTCACTTACCACCTAAACTTCTAAACCAAACATCCCTGAGCAAAGTTAAAAAGATGCTTAGAGGTATTTCGTTTTAATAGCGAACTATTGGTTTCGTTTTAGTAGCGAGCTATCGCAGACTCATTTTGCTTAGTAATGTGTGCCAATTTTAAGCGCCTGCCTTTCTGGAACATTATTGAATATTCTGCTGTTTGTAGGACATTTTAACAAAAGACCTTCCGTGATTTTTTTTTTTCGCATATTTTCCAGTTTTGTGGTATTTCATTTTGCTTTGACATTGCTATTGATTTCCGTTTTAATCTGTACATAATATCTTTTCGCGTAAAATCTTCAAGTTATAACTAGAGTGACTAACTTCATGGAATTATGTTTACATTTTTTTTGTCTGTTTTATATTATTGTATTTTCAGTAACTACCCATGCTACATATCGTTTTTTTTTTTTTTTTGGAGGATGGCGTCGCACAAGCCACGTGTTGGCTTTGATGCATCCGCAATACCAAACTTTTCTATGCTGGTAGCAATAAACAAATATTATTATAAAAAATGAAAAAAATATTTTTAATTAGATTTAGTTGACTTTTTTATTTATTTATTTATTTATTTAGTATACCCTCAGGGCCAAAGGCATTAGAGAGGAGAGTGGTTACAATCAAGAAGAAATTAAACAAACAGAGTACAGCAAAAATGGTAATACAAATAAACAAAAAATGGCATATAATCATACAATGTTAGCTAATGCGTTCTTGAAGTGATGGGAGTCTTCGATAGTGGCTATTGAAGCAGGAAGGCGATTCCACTCGTCAGATGTGCGTGGCAGAAATGACTGAAAGAAAGCGTTAGTTCTGGCTGATGGAATTCCAACCTTATTAGCATTATCAAACCGAGATGAGATGTACTGAGGAGGTAAAATAAGTTCGTCGTGCAGATGTGAATGGTAAAACAATTTATGAAAGAGACTGAGACGAAAAGCTTTACGGCGAGATGCGAGAGATGGCAGGCTGAGGCTAGACTTCATTGAACTTATGCTCGCGGTTCGGTTATAGTTAGAAAGTATAAAACGAACAGAATTATTTTGGACCATTTCGAGTGAGTTTATTAGGTTTTCTTGGCTGGGATCCCAAACTGACGCGGCGTATTCCAATTTAGAGCGAATTAGTGTGGTGTAAAGCAGTAGTTTTAATGACGAAGATGCTCGGGCAAAGTTACGTCGAAGGTATCCCAACATCCGGTTAGCATTATTAATCACGTATGTGGTATGGGCGGTCCAAGTCAGATCATGTGAAATATGAATGCCAAGATACTTGTATGAGGATACAGGGTCAATGGGTATGTTATTAAGGCAGTATTTTGGCAATTGGCAAGGTTTTCTGGACACATGCATTAGTTTACACTTGTTAATATTTAATTCCATGCGCCTTTAATCACTTTGTCCCAGATAATTATTTATTTTGTCTTCAACTGTCGTTCTAGATATAAGAATAATTTTTCAATGCACTCAGGCACAGAACACGAGGTGGAAGACGTAGTTAACTCTAAATATAACTATATTAAACACAGTATAATTATACCCATAATCTTGATGTGAACCACGTCATATTTATACTTTGAACGAAGATGCGCTTCACTCAGTTTCTTTTAATGAACCATACTCGTTTACCGAATGCAAGAAGAATTAAAAACATTTGAATTTGTTAAACTAAATTACCTTGATTTCTGTTCTCCACCCCACCGCTGGTAAAAAGAAGTCCCGTAAACACGTTCCGTAAACGCTTTTTCAGGCACAGCCGGCGTTACTTTTCGTATATAATACAGTCATGTCTACGCTTTCTATACTAATAATCAGTATGTAAAAGAGCTCACTATATTTGTACTGCTGGGTACATCTGGCAAGTTCGGGAGATCTCGCCAGGTCCAGGATGAAGCAGACACCGGTCTTGACGTAGGTGTAAGTTGGAATCCAGCTGAGAACATTCAACACGTGTTAGGAGTACAGCAAAGAATACATGTTGAGGCCACTTGCGAATAACGAGAATGTTGTTTTTGCCTTACAGCTTAGTGCACACGAAATCCTCGCACAAATCTCCGAAGGATGTCATCGTGCAGTTGAAGAAAAGATCAGCCGCAGGATGAGTGAAGTTGATGACGTATTTCATGGCTACGATGTCGTTGCCGACCGTGGTGTCCTATAATAGAAGTCTGTTTGTGATCTCAATAATTTTATTATTATGAAAAAAAAAACGAAGTATTTTTGATATGTCTACAGGGTGATTCAAGGAGAGGCCAGGCTCTTTAAATCGACCGCAAAATTCGGTTTTTTAACCTATTGCGCTACGACTTCGTGCAGCGTTGCCTACAGATGGTGCATTTTTGTTTTTGTAAAATTTGCAAAGAGCGAACTTACTTGAGAAAAAAATAAAGAAAGAAAAAGGCTTAGTTCCTATGGAAACGCAGCGATGCCACCGGTCTTCAAACAACACGGCGCCGTTTCGCACGGAACACAAGAGTGGGCGCCCAAGCGGTCACGACGCCAACTGCCGCCAACAAACGAGCATACGACGCAGAGAGCCGGCGTCTTTAGCAGACAAGAAACAGCAGTTCCTTGTGGTTACCGCGCCTGTTTTTGTTTCTGTGACTGTCGCCGCCTGCGGAACGCGCGCCGCTTTTGTGTCGAAAAGATGGTCGGCTAAAGACGCCGGCTCTCGGCGCCGTATGTTCGTTCGTTGGCGGCGTTCGTTGCGCCATCTCTTGTCTCCCGTGCGAAACGGCGCCGCGTTGTTTCAAAACCGGTGGCGTCGCTGCGTTTCCATAGGAGCTAAGCCTTTTTCTTTCTTTAATTTTTCCTCAGGTGTTTCGCTCTTTGCAATTTTTACAAAAAAAAAGAAATGCACTGTCTGTGGGCAACGCTGCACAAAGTTGTAGCCCGATAGCTTAAGAAACCGAATTTTGCGGTCGATCTGAAGAGCCTGGCCTCTCCTTGAATCACCCTGTATATAGACCAACGAGCGGTTCCGATGTCACGCCGCTGTGGTGATGCTGCTGTCAGCAGCACGTTGTGCATGCGGAGCCTCTCCATCTCACCGGAATCTAGTTTCTGTGCTCGCACAGTGCGAGCTTGTTTGAAAAGGGCGTGCTGGTGTATAGCGATTGAATAACATAGTTATCATGTATTTTGACATTATTTGTTTTAATAATGAACCTGTTTAGTCCGCTACCTTCATAAAAAAATAAGGGGAAAACAAATGCAACACTTAATTAGGTTTCTGGCTTACATAAGCATCAGAAATCCGAACACTACAGAATTTAAGGAGCCTATGAATCAGTATGGTTGAATGAACGCAAGGAACACAAAGGTAGCGATTCTAGATTGGCATAATCTTCCGATCTATCGCTGCAGCGTACGAAGAGCAGACCAAAAGCGCAATCAAATCGTTCGACACTTTTTAACTATTCGTCACGCTCGGACGATGTCTAACAACTGCTTCCACAGATGTAGATCAGTTTCACCGGTTTGTACTTTACGCCGCTAATACTACGACATCGCTTTGGTGATTTCGGTAGGTCAAATGTAATCTGAACTGACGTGTAATTGATATTCACTTACGTCTTCAAAGAAAGTTAAAGAAGCTCTTAAAAAAAAATGAGGGAGAGTTGAATTCTAGACTATTTTTATCGCGTGAATTCGAATATCACGTTCGTATCGACCGGAGATGTAACTAAACGCGAGAAAACACGAAAAACCTCCGACCAGTCGTTACAACCCCGAGGGATCTTTCGTCTGCCAAGCGCGTGTAGCTCGTGTGGGCAGCGCGTGCAATTGCAAGCTTGCCGGGTATATTCCCCCGCACTGATACCAGCTGTGACGTCTCTTTTAAACCATTTTTAAAAGAGCGAGATTGGGCGCGCACAGCTTTGATAGGGGCTGAAGATGCGCAAATACAAAAATCCCAAAAACTGTTTATTTTGTTTTGTTTTTTTGTACGTGACGCTTCGGTAAAGAGGGGCTTTAGCGGTACTTTGAAAATGATTTTCTGCAGCCTCGGTGCACCAACTTGAAAAGCAATCTCAATATTCGTGATCCTAGCGGCCAAATAAAGACGGTTTAAGTGTTTTCACTGGAATACAGAACCGCTTCCGTTTCCCTGTCATAATTTGTTTGTCAGAAGTACGAAACGCAGATGTAGATAAACAAATCGTGATATAAGTAATTTGAGAGGAATACTTACAAAAGACGCAGCACTGCATTTGTTGAACTTGGCATACTCAATGCACATCTTTGTAAAGTTCACCCTGCAAAAATAAAACACAAATTTCAAGTTGTATAAAAAAATTATTAATAAAAAAAAAACAAAAAAAAAACGGAAGAGGAAAACCTTGATCTCGTGCCAACGTCTTTTTTTTTTTCTTTCTTTTCTTAGTGCACACCATGAACTTGGAAAGTAGGCTGTCGTTTCGTTCACTTTGAAACCCTTGACATGAACGGAAAGCTAAGGAATCAAATCAAGCTTAGCATTTTTCTGAGGGCTTGATCGAATATCAGCTAGAGTAAACAAAGCCACGTGACCAGCCTCCTCTTCCCCCACAGAAGGTCATGACTCTGATGGCGGCGTTAACACAGCCATAGGGCCCGAACCCGACGTCGAGCGTCCTTCGAAGCAGTCATTGAACACGAGGCCCGGCCGAACGCCAACAGAGCCAACGCCACGTAGAATATTCAAAGCCGAGGTGCACTAGAACCTCGACGTCATCACAAGGAGATCGAGCGAAGACAGCGATTGGGTGCGAGTGCCGCGTCAGTGCTCGGCTGGGCTTCGCATCCACCCAATTAGCGCGTCGAATGACTCTCGGCATCGGGCTGGGGCCAAAGTGCCGAGTTGGCGCATGCATCCGACCGCCATGACGTTCCATGGAGAAGAAAGAGTGGGGCGTTTGGGGGCCTTTATTCTAGATGGGGTTTCGACACAGCGCCGTGGCGTCTGCAGTCTGTGTCAGCGCTCGGTCTCACTGTGGTGACGTAAAAAATATAATTCTGGTGCACCGGGCTTTGATTACCTTATACTCCATTTCACTTCAAGTCCGACCGCATTCGCGACACTGCATGCTACAATTCAATAAGCCTCCTGCGTTGCCCAGGAGGTGCTGCGAAAAATGACTTGTTAGGCCTTGTTTTGGGTAGTACAAACTTGAGCGACTGAAACTGCCACACATATAGAAGCGTGCCTGCTCTGGCGCGGAAAACCATAACGAGGAAAATAGAAAAAAAAAAAAAAGAAAAACGCTAACGCCGTCGAAGCACAGGCCAAAGCTAGGACGATAAGAGCGTGAACCAAAAAACGCCCTATCACGCGTGCCAAAGAAATATAAAGGGGAAGAAAAAAACAAAAACGTCGGGACATCAGATGTCCTAACGTCACCACTGTGAGGTACGAGATGCGTACCCTAGCGGTGGTGGCATGAATCCGGAACTTTCGATTGTCTTGCGGCGTTGAATGTAGCCGATTTCGGATGTCCAAAGGTGTTTTTCTGTACTTCTGTACTACACAGAAGGAAAAAAATCACGGCGAAGGCGCCATGATAGTGGGAGTCCCAACCAGGTGAGCTTGTACTACTCACAACGAAGGCGCCACAGTTTGTTCAAAGCTTCAGCGCAGGGGGCCTATTGAGCCTACTAAGAAGCACCAAAAGGGCATCGTTCCGGAGCTCGCAATCGTTGTTCGGTTGCTCTATCACTGGCAAAATCTGTCACGCACAGTGAATTCGTCCAGATCCCGCGATTTTTTTTTCCTGCGTTATTGGGTTAGCAGGTGATAGCGAACGCACTGCACAGACTAGGAGCGCCATGACGAGGCATTTTTGGTGCCGTTTGGTTGGTTTCATCGGATCGTGGCGTGGGCTGCGGTCAGGGGCGGGTTTACGGTCAGGCCAGGGAGTGGCGGTAGGCATTCGGCTGGAGGGGGGAGTCTGCTGAGGTATGACGGTATACGGCCGAAACATTGTCCAGGGGCCCTAAACTCGTCAAACACAAAGTTGAGGCCGAAGTTGACGGAGCGCACTAATTGGCCTATCAGGACGATGACTTGGCGCTTTCTTCGTCAAAGTCCTATTGGCGCGCTCCGGAAACTATCGGCTGCAACTTTGTGTTTGACTAGTTTAGGGCACCAGGGGTCCTAAACTCGTCAACCCCAAAGTTGGGGCCGAAGTTGACGGAGCGCACTGATTGGCCTATCACGACGTTGACTTCGCGCTTTTTTCGCCGACGTCCAATCGGCGCACTCCGCGAACTTTCGGCTCCAACTTTGTGTTTGACGAGTTAGGGCCCCTGATCTATTTTGTTGACTCAATATTTGCTGCCACCTAAAACTAAACATTTGTCTAATGTATACCACTGATTTTATTTTAAAAAAAGTTGACCTTGAAAAGTTTAGAGGGGGGTGGTCGTCCCCCCCCCAAACCGGCCCCCCTTTTTTCCTAAATCCGCTCCTGACTGCGGTCAAGCTTCATGTGAAAGGGAGTATAGTGGCGTTGAATGGGCCCGATGAGCACCCAGTATAAAATAAAATGACCTGAGTAAAAAAAATAAATAAAAAGAAGCTTATATTGACTGTATGCCATTCCACTTATGTAAACCCCTCTTGGGCACTGAAGGAACAAATAAATAACCACTAGTGCACTCACGATTCGTATGAGCAGACCGTGACGGTCGGGAAACGGACGCCGCGTATGTTGTCTTGCTCGTAGGTCACGGCCGTGTAATGGTGGCTGAAGTCGTCGTAGTCCCAGTAGATGCTGAACGAACAGGCCACGAAACAACACAGAAGAAACACCAGCTTCGTCACGCGGAATAGGAACCAAACCCTGAAACGAAAAAAAAAAACACACACACACACACAGACAAAAAGTGGCTTCTATGCCGCACTGGCGTGGCAATAAGGCATTGGTAACGGATATTATGATGTGTTAGCGTGGGACTTTTTTCGAGCCTGTTGGAGCGTAAGACGCAGTTGGTAGAGCGCGCGGAAAACAAAAATTGGAACACAGCAGCGCCGAACAGAGCCTCGGCGTCGGCTCGCGGAAAAACAGAACCAAACATCCAAACTACACCTCAACCCTTTCCGGCAAAGGTGGCACGTCTAACGTAGCGCTTGCTTTTTCCTTTGCCTTTCTTTCGCTCTGTCTTGCGTTCTTCCTCTGGGGAGCCCGGGGTGCGCTCGTTTCACAGAGCAGAGCGTCGCTTCATGTCTTAACACGTGATGTTTTCGCGTCGCCATGAGCAACACGGATGCACTCGAGGAAGACGTTTGGCTGGCATTGGTGTCCAAGCAGTGAAGAGACGAGCGCTGCGTCAGCGTTCGGGACGCGCAGCGTTCGGCAGGGTTATCGACTTTCTTCCTTGTTTTGGGAACGAAATGGTTACGTGTCAGCCACACGTTCTAACACGTTCTTCGTTAAAAGATCGTAATGATAAAAGCTACATGAGATGAGCCGAACTCGCTATAGTTTCATTTCGTGCGAAGCGGGTCATGACAAAAAAAAAAAAAAAAACAAAACAAAACATATCACTCTAAAAAAGAAAAAAAAAAAAAAAAAAATCCCGTGCGTCTACTTTTTTGCACAACACCTCGGAGAGCCAATCACCGCAACTCACGGAGGCAGCTGAGCGAATAACGATGCCGAAACATGTATGTTTCGACCAAAAAACGCTGTCTGAGTTGTGACATTAAGAAATGCAAGCGTGACGTTTTGCACTGCTTAATGTCAAAACTCGGAGAGCGTTTTTTGGTCTCAACATACGTTTTGGCTTCGTTATTCGCTCAACTGCCTCCGTGAGTTGCGGTGATTGGCTCTCCGAGTATTGTGCGAGAGAGTAGACGCACGGGCGTTTTTTAGAGTGTAATGTGAAGACGATACGAAATGAGCTCTTCGGCTATAGTTCGCTAAGCACAGGGAACAACATAATGCGGGATGGACGCGGGTAGTGTTCCCGGCTACTGCTACTGTCGTCTGCTTCTACCGCAGGAAATTGTGAACTCAAGTTCCCCTACAGAGTTTTTAAATAATTTGAAGCGCTTGCAGAATTATAGTTTCTTCATTGTTACTATTGAGTGGTGCATGCCATTTGCTAGTTTAACATTGTTGTCTTTTTAATATAATTGCAAATTATACTTGTTTATGCGGTGTTTCTCGTTTTCCTGCTGATGTTTATTTCTCATCCACAGCATTTCTGGACACGGCTTCCTTGCGCCCTCTCTTGGCTATTCTCGGGAAAACGCAGTAAAATTATAATTTCAGCCAAACTACTGCAGAAATTCTTAAGTTCCGCGGAAAATCTATAGAGGGAACTAATACACTCTTATTTAATACCTACTTGAACCTCAGGGTTCTATACATTTTATTCCTGTGCCCGATATAATATTGTTGCATTGGGTCCTATGGGCCAACTTGACAAAATTTTAAATTTTTTCTCACTGGAATGAAGAAGCGTAAAGTTACCGAGGAATATAATAGCTGCCGACTCATAACATACACTGCAGTTAAAATTTTGTTATTTTAATTAATATTTTTTTTTCCTCGAGACTTTCAAATTCGGCCTGCTTTTTGCCCCTGTAAAGTTAGTACTCCGCCGTGCACCAAGAAACTTGTGGCCAAGCTACCTTTACATAGGCTCATTGAAAGAAGATACGTACGATGCGTTTGTGACAGCGTATTGACTAAGAATGTGGCGGCTAAAATATGACTATATAATAATTAGATGTTTACAATCAAAAATTGTGCCCTGGATTTCAAATACAAGCAGTTGTTATGTAGGGTCAGAAACACTTGCATTTGAAAATATTTTGCTTTGAATTTGCCTGTGTACGTAAAGTTTAAGTTCGATTACAGACACAAACTAGACAAAATTTTTTCAGGCGTATATAACTAGAAATAACTAGAACTAACTAGAAATATAACTAGAGCGGCGCGCCGCTGGCATTTCGATTGTGTGTCTTTTTACTATCTTATTTTATTTATACATATATACACGTAAAAATAAAGAACACAACGACGACGACGTTGAAAGGACGACACACAGGGCGACGGCGGTGCCTCATTCTGAGCCCTGGTTCCTCGAAAGTGGCAGCTTCTACTTTGACTGGGCTACCTCCTTGGAGCCTGATGCTTCGACCCCAGTGGACCCCAGTGAGCAACAGCGCCATCATGTTCCTGGGGCTCCTTCATGCACCGATCGAACGGCGTGCCAGATCCCCATGGCCCGCTGCTGACCGGCCCAACCCACCTCCACGAAATCTGGACTTCTGCGAATCGAACTGCCATCCTCCCCAATGCCAACAATCCATGTCGTCATCATCATGCATGTATAGGGTGGTCCAAGTCACCAGGCTATATCTAAAATGAACCGTAAGAATCGACGCCTGCACGTAGTAATCTAATGAAAAAACAGTTAGGGCGCAGGCGAGCTGGTGTAAGTTTACCCTTTTTTAGACCACCTGAGACTGGGTGGAAGAAACACGACGACGTCTTGAGACGTCGTCGTGTTTCTTCCACCCAGTCTCAGGTGGCCTAAAAAAGGGTAGCAATCTAAACTTTTCGTCAAAGGTGTATTTCACAGGTCGGTGTTTTCTTGTAAAATTACAACGCGTAGTTCTCTTTCTGTAAAATAATAAGGCCAAGAAACTTGCCAGGGTTTACGGCGGGCAGCGACGCAGACGGCAGGGGTTCAGTAGCGGGGTGTGTTTGGCGTTCGTATTGATAGATGGCGCTACCTCCTTATTGCGACGGCTCGCGACCGCCGTGGTTTATTAAAATGAACATAATCTTTTTGAAATGTACCTTCGGTTAAAAAAGCAAATACGGATAATAAAAGCAAAACGTAAAGTAAAAAAACGCGTCTGCATAACGGCGGCGCTTTTGCTGCCGACGGATTTCGTCTGCGTGTCGTCTGCGTTCTTTCGCTGATCGGCTGCACCTTCGGACGCTGCTCCCGACGCCATCTATCAGTACGAACGCCAAACACACCCCGATACTGAACCCCTGTCGTCTGCGTCGCTGCCCGCCGTAGACCCTGAAAAGTTTCTTGGCCTTGTTTTTTTACAGAAAGAGAACTACGCTTTGTTACTTTACAAGGAAAAAGTGACCTGTGATATACATCTTTGATGAAACGTTTAGATTGCTACGTGCAGGCGTCGATTTTTACGGTCCATTTTAGATCAAGCCTCGTTACTTGAACCACCCTATATATATTAATCACATTATTATGTTTACTAGACGCGGCACCGCGGGCCTATATGGTACGGGCCGCTGCCTATCCGCGGTGCAGCGGCTCTCCAGAGCCAAAAAATAATGTCTAAAAACTAAGGACTAAATACAAAATTCTTTGCTGACCAACAGCCGGTAGCGCCTTAAAAGAAAAGACAATAGTGTTTCCTCGTTTAGAGGATACAAATTCCAAAACTACACCATACTAGTGGCGCACATCACTGAAATAACATAAGCAATACAGAAAATAACAGATTGTTTCTTGAGCGCAAAACGGCAAAATACACATAATTGGGGAGATTTTTTGCTTCTAAAAGCCTAATTCAGAAACCTAAACTAAACTGATGTTTGGTGAAACTCGGGGTATATCGTGTGCATCGTTTCGAAAAAGTATCAAACGAAAACACCACGTAACACATTTGACGTTGTTTCACACCCCGAGACACTGGCTTACACTGGCGCACCGACCGCCGGCGTAGTATAGCGCATAGTCGTGAAATGTCTGCGATTGATAATGATGATAGCTCATTGGCGAATAAAAGAATACTCGGCGCGCACCTTTCCTCCGTCAGGGCTGGGTACGGCGCTGTAGGCGTTCTGTCTAATGCAAATGAGCGGAGTGGAATGTATTCCACTCGGCTCAGTCATGAAAGAACTGTGTGCGTCTGTGTTCGTCCTTCATGTGTTTTATTCTTCCTGTGTATTCCGAATGTATTCCCCCTAGTAAAGTATTTGAGCAGACGCAAAACGGTGAAAAGGGTGGAAGGCCGGAGAGATGCACAGGAGAGGAGGTTGAGATAGGCGGTCGCGCGCTTCGAATTCCCCGTTTGTCTTGCTCTGCACTCTAAAAAAAAACAACAAAAAAAAAAACGTGCGTCTACTTTCCCGCACAGCACTCCGAGAGCCAATCACCGTAATTTACGAAGCCAGATCAGCGAATGACGATGCTGAAACATATGTTTAATCCAATAAACGCCGTCTGAGTTGTGACATTATGCAATGCAAACCGTCACGCTTGCATTGCTTAATGTCACAACTCAGACTGCGTTTTTTTGGTCTAAACATATGCTTCGCCATCGGTATTCGCTGAGCTGCCTCCGTAAGTTGCGATGATTGGCTCTCCAAATGCTGTGCGAGAAAGTAGACTCACGGGCTTTTTTTTAGACGGTGCTTAAATGTCTGTCTGTCTGAGGGTTAAGATATCAAATGTTGCCTGTGCTAGCGCGTGACTTGGGCGGTAAAATGGCGTCTATGTATTAGCCAAAGCTACGCGCTCGAGCTGAGTAAGACCGTATTGCGCGCACTTCAAAATGCATAAAATAACGAATGGGCGCAAAAAAAGTGGCTGAGATGTCACCACTCAAGCAAAAGCGCGCGTGTGTAGGAAGGCACTCTATCTTGCACAGGGTTGGTAAGCCACGTGTCGTGAGAGTCGGGAACGAAAACAGCGTGTCTCAGAAAGCTGGCCGGTACATTTTTACACTCTCCTGGCGGTGTTGTCGTTTTGCTGCTGCTGTTTATTACCGTATATTTTTTACCCTCTCCTGTAATGACCCCAAGAGGGGCTAACAGTATATTGAAATAAATAAATAAATCACAAGGTCGTCCTTTTGTTTTATGTAAACACTTGCCACTATGCGAAACGCAACTTCGTCTGCTTTTTGCGTAGGGGTTGCCTTGTCCTGAGAATGCCAAGCTCTTATTGGCTCCGATTGGAAGGATAGTTAGTAGACACCAATGCTAATTGCCTAAAGGCCTACCCACTATCGTTCCAATCGGAGCCAATCAGGGCTCGGCATTCTGACGTCGTTGCCACCGCCGGTGCATGAGGCAGACGAACTTGAGCTCCGCAGTCACTGACAACATAAGAAAACGCAGGACCTGGCAAGTCCCGAGCATCTCATTATCGCTCCTCGGTAAATCAGACTGCGGCATTCTCTGATAAGAACGTCGAAGAACCAATCACGAAGCAAGGAGCGTGAACATAACAAACCACGATCTGTGTTTCTTTTAGCTACAGTGACTGTAGATCAACTGAACTCTTTGACGTCCCGCCACTGGGGTGGCACTGATGTCGGGACTGCGCATGCGCAGAAGCTTTGCCCGAGTTGATTCAGGTACTTGCGCATTGCGCAGTGGCCACACCCGGTGTGGGCAAACGCGGGCTTGTTTACAATGTTTTGGCAATGGCGGACATACCAAGGGGTAGAGTAGGCAGCTGCCTAGGGTGGCAGAAGTTTCTGGGCGGCCAATTCGTGGTCGCCCCTAAATTATTTGGGTATCTTTTTAAGGCGAAAACCTTATATGTCGCATTACGCGAAAAGGCGTGGGCGTTGTCCCCAAAAGCTGGCCATAAAAATACGTCATCAAGCACGCGCCGCTCCAGGTCAAAGCGGAAGCTCCTCAGAAGTAAAACACAAAGAAAAGCTCAGCAACGCATGTGCTTTGTTACGGAAGCCGTGAAGCCGGCGGGGGCGCCGCGCCTGCACAGTGGGGGAGCGTGATGTCACCGCCGGACTATTTTACGCTTTCGCATTCCTACACGTAAGCAGTATTAAGTGTCGACGGTGTGGCTTAAATTGAGCTCTGAATTGAGCTACTTTGGGAATTCTAGCTCCAAGTCCAGTTACTTCTCAAAATGTAAACACCAACTCCAAAATTAAGTAATTCCCCCACACCAAGTTTTCCCCCCTCTCCCGATCCCCATGGTCACTGACCATGGGGGGGGGGGGGGGGGGGGGGGGGGAACGGGGTTTGGAGGGCAGCACTGTTGAACGCTGCCTAAGGGCGGCAAAATGGAGAGTTCGCCACTGTGTGTTATTATATGAGCGATCCACTCACTCTGCTCGGCGAAACCGGGACTTGACTTTGTTGCGCCAGAAGTCGTAAAAGAGCCTCGCCAGCTCGGTCGCCCCGACGTAGATCGCCATGCCCATCCAGAAGCCTGAGTAGCCTCCCACCACACCCAGCACTTGGGTGCCCTGCAAGTCGGCGCGAGATATATACGACGTTATTTCATGTCGACTATGATATCGTCAAAATGAAAACGTGCGCAATACGCAAGATAGTTTAAAAATTTTAGCTATGCACGACGGTTCTTCGAAAGAGAAAGAAGCTCTTCGGGTTTCGGAGATGTAATTTTTTTAATGGAATTCAAGTTGTTTCACAAAGAAAGTTTTTCGGCGGTTAAACACCTCATTTCCTCTCGAAAAAATGTGCGACGTACGTAATTTGTTTTCAAATGTTTGTACCCGTTTTTATTATTCATTTAAATAACGCTAAAGAAAGGTCCATGGCTGCAATTGAGCAATACTTTAGAACAGGTTTTTAAAGGAAATCAAGCCTCTGAGGAGCTTTCAAAAAGCCGGATTTCTCAGCTGGCAAAAAAAGGTCAAGACGTAATTTTTCAGACATTTTAATTCATTTTTCTAACGCTTCTCGTCCATCAAGCAAGCGCAGCGCTTGTCTCTTCGTTTATTAGAAAGTTCATGCGAGAAATGGCCCTATATAAAAATATTTAGATTATTTTAACTGATGAGCAAAATTTGTTCATCGATTAAATCTAAGATATAATCAACTTTAATAGTTTAATTTTATAAAAAAAACTTGATGGTTTTATTATGAAAAAATAAAACAAATATTTCTCATGCGTTTTTAACTTGACAAAGCTACGCGAAATATATGACATCAGAAGAGCTTATGTAAACCCCTCGAAGTTTTTCAGTTGTAGAGGGGTGATGGATGCTGACAACCACTCTTATTAACATTTGTTTCTAGGTAGGCACTTTAAATATGAAAATAGTTTGTTTTTCGGGTAAAGTTAAAAAGTATCTGATTGTGGCTTTAAACTGCAAGTCTAGAATATACAGTGTCATCTTTTTACGGGGGTCTGCTTCCATTCAACACAACAACGTAATAAACCACCCGACTAAATCATAAACGGCGTGTTTATGCTGTCTTCGTCATTTCACTATATAAAGCCTCGGTTAAATAACTCTTCAAAACAAAACAAAAATAGTATAGATGATTGTACGAGAATAGAAACCATTTAATCATTCCTAACGGGCTTAGGTTCCACCCTTCTTCTGTCCAGACTCAATTCTTCCAGGACAACGATCCCACAAGAACGCCACAGCAATGCAGTTTGTAATTTGGGAGACATTAGAAACTTCATATAGAGTTATTTTATCGCATTTTCTTTCCAAGCATGCAGTCGTGTATTTAAATCCTACATCTAGAAGAAATCTTATACCTAAGGGCATGCCGATCATTTCCCACAATGGCCAAGGTTATACCACCATCTAAGAAATCTTAAGAGTGATTTTTCCGTAAAGCAATCCGGAGAGCCAATGAGCCAAAAAAAAAAACAAGAGGTTGTGGAGAAGACGAGAGCGTGCGAAGATGTCAGAACGCCGAGCTCTGGTTCGAACGCTTAGTGGGTAGACGCAAAGCTAGCTTCCTTCGCCTCCACTGCACTCGTCGAACGCGATAAAACGCCAGACGCAGGCGTCTGGACTTTGGCTCTCACATTCAAACGTGCTCGACGAGTGCACCGGAGACAAAGGCAGCTAGCTTTAGGTCTACCCACCATCGTTCTGAGGTCCCCGCACGCTCTCCTCTCCTCCTCTTCCTCAGTTCCTCGGCCAATTGCTGCAATCTACGAAGAGAACTACGCGAATGACGAAGTTGAAAATAGGTCTATATCTAAAAGAAGTGTTGCGCTGTGACACTCAGCATGACGTTTACAATGCTCAGTGCCACAATGCAGGCTGTTGTCTTCGGTTACAACATATTAGAAAGTTTTAGAATAGCGTAAAGACCCGTGCGTTAGCCCGGCGTACGACGCACGCAAGCTCTCAGCGGAACGCTGAAGAGCGCGTCAATCCACTACTTTTTGGTACAGCGGAATGCAAACTCACGCGCAAACACTGGCAGCGCCCTCTAGATCTGCCCGTACGAACTGCTCCAATCTTTCAAAGGCCAGTGATCGGTCAAGACTATCCAATGCCGCGAATCTCATCGCTACTCAGATGTCGTGAATATCTTTCCAACTGCCGGCTATGAGCGTGATTTATCATTATGTTTATAACTATACGACCAGTGGTTTGAGGTATGATTCACGTTTTTCAATTTGAAGAAATCTCGCGCCGGCCCGCGTGCGACGAGAGCAACGAGAAGACACGCAGAGGGCCGCTGAGCACGTACGCGAGCGTACGTACGCCAATCTCGCAGCCTTGCGTGCGTGTAACACATGCGCAGTGTGGAACACGCAATGCGAATGTAAACGCACAGCGCTTCCGTTTGCTCCTATCTGCAATACTAGTACTCTCTATTAAATGCTTATGTCCCTCCGCGGTGTTCCCGTCGTATACTGCACGATCGGCTCCCTCAAGTGCTTTGTAGGTAAGTAGACTCTCCAGGTTTTTTAAAGTCTAGAACATAATTAGGCATAAAATAAATCTGATGATGCCGGCAATCCATCAGAGTAGTAGTCAACATGATACGGAACGACGGAGGACTCCCGTTTCTTCCAAAATCCGTCTCACCGTGAGCAGTGGAATGAAATGCAGCGCGTCGACACTTCTCGATGTCATCATTGCTCTGACCTTCACGTACGTAAGGCTAAAAAAAAGAAAGAAAAAGCAAGAAACGATATAAATGAAGCTATGAGCAGCAACATCTCTGAAATCACATTACGTTCGGATTGCAGTTAGAAGAGGAGAATAGTGCGCCGCCTGTGAAGAACTACCCTAACTTAGAGAATCAAGTACTTTCATTTGGGAAGCAACAAAAAGCAAATTGGGCATGATTCAAATATATTTTTCCATTTCATGTCATCGCGAGACACTGTTAGTGCGAAACAAGCAATTCGAAACTTTCTGTTTTTCTTTTAGAACCTGAAGGTTGTCATCAAAACAACTAGCGCGCTAGAAAGTGTTCATTTGGTAAAGAAATATAGCAGGTAAAATTTGGTGGTGGGAAATTCTCCTAAAAAGTGCCGATCTCTTGTACGCGCTGAAGCGCAGTTCACACTTGCGACCGAGTAAGACCGAGAGAGACTAGACCGGTTTTTAAGCCTCTTAGGACGTCTTAGTACCAGCTCCGCAGCATCGCATCCGGTCCTAAGACGTTGGAAGACGCTTAAAAACCGGTCTTGTCTCTGAGTGTCGCGCTGTGTGCATATATAAAAGATAAGAGGAACAAAGGCATTTGCTCGAGCCAGGGGGCCACATTGGATCTCAACGTAGACAATGTTTATTTTATCCCAATCATTAAAATTATTGAGCCAACAAGGGAGCTATATATTTTTCTATGCGATAACTTAAATTATGGCACTGCGGCTCAGTATTTGGGGTGCAGAGTGTTGGAAGAAGAGTCCGGATTTGTGCATGCATATTAAAGCTAGCATTTTTAATTATTCGGGGTAAATTGATTGGTCTTTTATTTCTTGTATTGAATTATGGTTATTGATTTCTTTTTTGTTTCAACTGAAGAATTGTAAAAGAATTCTTACCCTCCAAGTGACTTGCTCGACACTTGCTTCCACGCCGACTGTGTGGCTTTGTAAATCGTCTCTCTGGTGGAAAAGGCGCTCAGATCATAGTTTATTATAGTTTTAAAGGAAACAAAAAGTAGTTGGAACACTGCAAAGCCATCGTAAAATGGCAGAGTTTTCATATGCAACAACAACAACAACAAAAGACTGAGCAAACGTCTTTTAAAATTCTCGCTTATATATTAAACATGCGCTCTATATGGTACCGCGATCTCGCAAATTTCGCAAATATCGTAAGTTTATTTTGGTGAATATTTGTCGAATGCCTCGAATTAGCGATATAGCAGGTTTTCTTTTTGACCGATGGTCATTTATTTCAAAGCGAACTATTTATAACAAGTTAAAAATGAATGTGTTGCCTTTAGGCGTGCGTGGCCACTGTATTCGTAAAAAATAGGTTTGATGGCATGCGGCAAAATGTGATTATGAGAAGGTATACATGAATAACCGTAGTACGATTTTTTTTTTGAAATGTCAGAAGCCAGCAGAGCGGCTGTTCAGCGAAGTTCGCTTACCTGCAAGCACTTTGACACCGGTCGGTGCAAATCACACTGTACATTGCTCGACCATCAGTGTGCACGCAGTTTGCTGAAAATAAAATTAACATACACTGATCTGACGCTGCTTAGTTAATTTCAATAAGTTGCTTAGTTTTCAATAGCTGGACGTGACTGCAGCATACACGACCTCTTGATGACCCAGCGAGCATTCAGGCGCCGAAACGGTAAACCCATTGGCATGCATGTGATACAGGTGACCGCTGATAAGGAATAAGCTTCATAGTTTGAAACGCAGTCTTCTGATAGCGCGTTAGTCATTACAATTGAATGTCCAATAAAAAGCCAAGGAGTAGCTTTACATAAACTGTAGTGAGTGACGGCTTGACGCAGTATGTCGGGACCACGTTATCATTACTCTACAACCAATAGGATTTTGGCGTCGCCAAATGAAAACGCCGCATAAAAAATCAGGAAACGAGAATCGTGATCATATGATATGTCACGGACTGTGTTTATTTAAGATCATATGTATAGCGACCATGAGTGTATGGATGTATAAAATGTCCGTTTATTAAATGTCGCAAAGGATGACATTCTGACGTCAAAACTGGCCATCGGTATGCTTTCAAAAAAAGAATAGGCATAACTACTGCGGAAACCGCCCAAATCGGGCAACTATACACCAGTGGAACATTTTCCAAAGCGGCACGAGTGTACCGAGACGCGACGTAGTGGATGTCACGTCAGTTAATCATCCAACAGCACAAGCACGCATCGGGAGTGTCCCAGTTGGATAAATTTAACTTGGCATAAATCATCAAAAAAGTGTTTCTGGTTGTGCTGTTATTATGTCCACAATTCTCGCATAGTGATTTGTTTTCAGGCCCTCTTGTTGGCTAGTGTCCCAACCGCATTATCTGCGGTGACTGTATAGTAATGGTAACAATAAAGCTGTCGGTGATTGTATGATAATGGACAAAACAGAGTGGTGGCTAGGGACGAATTCCATCACCTTCAATGTTTCCGGTGTTTCCTTTCTCTCTTATTGAAAATATCCTCGTCAATTAGTTACTTGAACATGGATATCTCACCAGTAACGCGGGCAGTGCAGACCGTGTCGCTGATATGGTTCCGAAATGCGTAGTCGTTGGGGACACATCCGCACACTTGGGTCGTGATGTCCTTACGGCATTCTTCGTAGCAAATCTAAGTTAAAGGTGGGTTTAAAGGTATATGTATAGGTGCTCAGAGGTCGCGTTAAATAGTAAAGTTTAAAGTAAGTGGCGATTAGCTTTGGCCCAAGTAAAATTACTTCTAGTACTACAGGGTGACCTACTTAATATTGAAGTATCGATGGGCTTTTTGTTTGTTACTTTCTCATCCGGGAAATAAATATACATATTAGCCTTACAGAGCAGTTTGAGCATGAGTTCATACAAAAATTCAAACTCACGCCTTTTGTTTTTTGGTAGACGGAAAACTAAGAGGGCCATAAACTTCTGTCATTACTTAGGGTTACTTGTTTTCAGTAAATATTGAAAAGCCCAACAATTAATCACTGAGCCGGTTTTATTAAAAATTAGGACAACTGAAAAGACCCAAATCCAAAATCCCATTGAATCAGAACCCCCCCCCCCCCCCCCCCAAAAAAAAAAAAAAACGCTTTACGGGACATAATTTCTTTGTTGAGCTTTATTTTGTGTTGGTTCAAAACACAGCCCCGAATGAACTGTCTGCGAGGCTGCATCCTTGCTTCGGAACCACATATCTTATCTCGTTTCTTCATGTCGTTACGGGGACTTTTTTTACCGAGTATTCAGGGAACGCGTTTGTTTCCTGGAGGTCGGTGACTCCCATTCCAGTGTCCTGTTTTTTTCAACTGAAGCTCCAATAACCTCGATTTTTTTTCCGCCTCTGACAAATTAATACCGAGAAACACCGAATATGTGGGAACAATTATCCCCTTACGAAAACAACAACAATGCAAATGTGAATAAAAGAAAAGTAACTGAACCCCCCGAAAACTCAAAGCCCTACTAATACCCTAGTTACATGCGCACCCATAACTTCAGTTAAATGTGATTGAGGTCAGCCTATGACCGCGGTTGAGGGTGCTCGACAGGCATCCAAAACCGCAGTCCCCAATTATGTTTGGCAGTTACTGCGAGCTCTACTCTAGAAATAAACAGGCACCCCAAGGTCGGACTTTAACGAAAGTCAAGTCCGAGCTTATGCTACACCTAACGGCTTTTAAGGGTGCCCGTGAAACTATTGTATAAGGCAGGCTATCTAGAAAAGGGTGACAATTTAAGGAAGTAGGCAGGATGAAGCTTGCCTTTCTTCGCAAATAAATCTCAGGCTACAGAAAAAATACGAAAATGCTTTTTACTATGTAGATATGTTTGTTCAGTAAAATGTACGGCACAACTCGATTTTGAGCTAGTATCTTCTAAACTTTTTATACAATAAAAATGTAAATTGAAAAAAGTGGACCACGCTTATTTACGGTTGAAGTATATGCTGGTCATGTTTGCTTTTTATGGCACTTCTAGAGAATTTATGTCCGTCGTTTTGCTTCTAAAATGAATAAGGTGAGCAATCACGAATTGGGCATTGGGGCGCGCCCACAATTTATTCGAACCCCGGAAGGGAGGTTTGTCACATTCTATTTCGGCTAACACCGGACACGCTATCGCTCCAGAAATATTTCTGACTCTCATGCATCTGTAGTATGAACGGCAGCCTTTAGTAAATCTAAAAAAAAGCAAAACGGTGATTGCACAGTTTAGCGTGCTGTGTAGTGTTCCGTACCTAATATTTGCTCGAGGGCATCAACCCCAGACAAATACAGTACATTTAGAAGTATACAAAATTTATATTCTCACTTCCTTCGAGTACTGAACTTTGTAGTTGGGTAGTTCCAGATACCGGCTGTAGTTGTCACATCTGCTGTCGTACGGTTCAGGTAGCGACACCACTGCTTCCTGAAACATCATTTATAAACCATCGACTTAGATGCACTTCATAATTAAACAAGGTCGTAAGTGACGTTTTCGAAGAAGTTTGAAATGTGAAGTAGGTTGTGCACTATATGAAGTACCTGGGAAAACTTCGTGTCATCTCTTAGCGCCGCTTCGTACTAACACAACGTATTCCGTTGACAGATTCAATAGTGTGTGGCTCAAAATTCTGAAATCATTGTGCCCTAAAATAATCAACTTTACACCCATGTATTGAAATTACACGTGTGCTAAAATAACATTCGACCAATGAGGCGCTCGGTTTATTGTCTGTTAAAAATGTACTGTTACTGTGACAAAAGGCTAGAATATTTAAATCAACACTTAGCCAAATGTTTTTACCATGAATAATGAAACACACACACACACAGAATCGCCATCTAGCGCTACTTGCACCTAATAAAACCTCCACCGTTGACAAAACAAGAAATCTAGATCTTAAAGCTGCGCCTTTTCTGCCTGGATTAAGAGAAACCTTAAAAAAAGACCCAGCCCACCGTTGTGCAGAAAGTCTATGGAACTACTATATTAGTATGCTATGTTCGAAACTCTTTAGCATGGTATAAAAAACCACACACAACGTGAACACCTCTTATAGATGTCGTTGAACACCTATTTGACAATCGTTCCGACGCGGATAGCGTTGTAGGAGCCATATGTCGAAAATTTTGATATCCAGGCAAATATAGGAATTTGGATCACCAACACAGAACAGCCATATATTCTTTCCTGAAATGACACTAAAGAACTAAACGTACAGTTCCTGTACTACTAAATCATATTGTGTCCATAGTGCTTAAGGCTACTTCACGAAAAAACGTTTTGACATTGTCCCTCTAAACAGTCCCTTTAAGCACATTGTCAGTTTTTTTTTTGCTTAATTTGCTTTGTTGCCGTTTCCTCAAAAATCCCGCGTTGTTCATAGCGAAAGGGGTACCGTGGGCTCGGCAAGCTCCTTAAAAGCGTTTTTTTCCCCTCAGGACCTCCTATCGCTGATGACTGAAATAAGAAATGCTACACTATTACAAATATAATTCTGCTATATTGCTGACGTTGTATCACATGTCTGGAGGTTACCTCAGCCACGCCAGCTGGTATTTCCCGGCTGACGTGCGGCGCACTAACTGCAAATCTCTATGCATTGTAACAAATATTACAGTTTCAACACATGGGCAGGATCGAGTAATAAGTTCAAGATTCACCCCACCAAATAAACAGACAATGAATGTCACCCTAAATTTGCGCACGCAGATTAAAAAGGGGCTGTACCTGGACAATGCCAAAGACGAAATCTCCCGAAGGCATAAAGGACATAGTGTGTTTCTTTCCTGCCGTGTTTGTGTCCACGTGGTGAAAGCCCAGGTCCATCTCAAATTCGTCGATTGGCATCACGTCCTCTTCGGGCCAAGCGAACAATACATTCATCTCTGAAAAGTAAGACCACTTCTAATGACATTCAACTTTGAAAGATTTAATCACTTTCTCACTGTGAAATTAGATTTTTTTTTGCTTCCCCCCAGTAGACTTGCGAGACGCAGATATTAATCATTTCTTAGCGCACTTAATTTATACTGATATGAATTGTTTTTGCACACTACTAGTTTAACGCTTGTGGACTCAATTAAAAGTCACTGTTTTGTTCTTTTTTGTTATATTCATTATATACACAGTTTATCATGTTTTATGCTAAACATAACATAGATTTTTCTTAAAGTTGATCGAATGAAAAACGAAATTAGTCTCTGTCGTATGGAGTAGCAATAAAAGTAAACGCCAGAAAATACATTCATTCAGATTATACAACAAAATATTTACCAAATGCCAGTACGTTTTGATGAACAGTCTTGATGTTATGGACCTGTCTCCAGTTCATTGTGTAGCACATGTGGGTAGGCAGCCTCGAATACGACACCTTGGTCACGCTGCATGTTTGAAAAACAAAATATAGCTCTAACGTTGGCGCATGCGATACACTCCGTTCAGCTATTTTTTTCTGTTGTATCAGAGCATGACTTATATTCGCGGTGTCGTACCTAGGATGGGTCTACCATCCGAAGAAAGCTGCCAGAGTACTGCCCCGACTCCGGCAACATCGATGTCTACATCGAACGCCGTTCGAGCTGTTTGTAAACGCAAATGGAATCGCCGCAAGCAAGAAGTTGCAAGTCTTCTTAACAGTCCTAGGGAAAAAGGCCTGCGTAACACTGCGTAATCTGCTACTACCGAAGACGCCAACCGAAGTCAAGTATGAAGAGGCTGTAGCGGTGCTACGACAGTATTACGCACCCAAACGTTCGATCGTCACTGAACGCTATCGCTTCTATCGTCGAAACCAAGAGTCGAACGAAAGCCTCGCACAGTTTATTGCCGAGCTAAAGAGACTCGTCATGACGTGCTCGTTAGGAAGTTTCTTGGAAGAAGCTTTCCGTGATCGACGGATTGCTGGCCTCCGGGTGGAATCGATTCGATGTCGTCTTCTTGCCCTACCTGACAACGAGGTCCCCTGGGAGCGTGTTTGGAACATAGCAACTGCCATGGAAGCAGCGCAGAACGACAAGAGAGAAATGCTACCTAACGTTGCCCCCGCAAGTGCCTAGGACGTTAACTGGCAGCGAGAAGCATCCGAGTCAGTCGAACAGCACACGACAAAGCCAAGAACCCAAGGCAGCGACCGGACAGCCTCCAAAAAAGGACAAGCAAAGGAGCGGGAAACAGAGTCTGTTCGTGCGTGTCACAGATGCGGTGGACAGCATGCACCAGTGAGTTGTTCTTTTTTGAAAAGCAGCTGTTACAATTGTTCGAAACCAGGTCATGTCACGAAAATGTGTAAGACAAAGTTCGAAAACCAGGTTCACGAAAATCTATCAGAAAAAGATTTGCTAACTATTTGTCGTACGAATAAACATATGGGTTCGCCCCCCATACTCATAAAATTAGAGGTAAACGGTAGGAAAGCCCTATGGATTTAGACAAAGGAGCGGCTGTGAGGATCATGGCAGAGAAGGACTTCGGCAAGGACTTCCCTAAATGAACGTACCGACACGACGACGTTAATGTCGGAGTGTACAATGGTACCCCTATTGGCGTAAAGGGAGTAGCTCAAGTTGAAGGTACACTACGATGACCAAATTTACCACCTGCCCCTGCTCATTGCAAAACCTGAAAAAGGAGCACGCATACCGACTCTCCTGGGTCTTGACTGACTTTCAAAAATCAAGATAAATCTGCATGACGCCGTTCAACGGTTGCAACACGAAGTTGTGTTGAACGTGCAAGAAGTCGGGCAGATTAAAACTGCGGATGCAGAAAAACGACTAAAAGAGCAGTACCGCGATGTGTTTGAGCTAGGTTACGGTGCCATCAAGGGATTCACAGGGAGCGTTAAAACGAAAGAGAATGCGAATCCAGTCTCTCGTAAGGCGCGACCCGTACCATATGCTTTGCGCGAGCAAGTGGAAAAAGAACTAACGGATTTGGAAAAGCTGGTGTCACGCAGTGGGTCAGACATAATACTAGGTCTACACCGCGAGTTATCGTGCCCAAGAAAAAAACACAGAAAAAGCTAAGAATATGTCGGGATTACAGAGATTACAGATTACTATAAATCAGGCAATTGAAGTGGACCACTATCCGCTGCCACTCCCAGAGGACATCTTCGTGTCCCTGGTTGGAGGAACCGTGTTCACCGCCTTAGACCTGTCAAAGGCCTACCTGTAGCTTGAACTGTACGAGCGGGCACAAGAGTTGCTCACGATTGATACGCACATGGGACTGCTTAGGTTCCGGCGATTACCATGTGGCATAGCAAGCGCACACGCAATGTTTCAGGCTGTAATGGACCAGGTTTCGCAAAGCATTCCTGGCACGGCTTGTAACTTAGACGACGTGCTGATCGCTGGCGAAGACTCAGCAGAGTGCTACCGCCGAACCGAACGAGTGCTTCAGACGTTGGATGAAAACGGTATTCGCATAAATGTGGCGAAATGCAAGTTGTTGCAAGAAAGAGTCCAGTACCTCGGACACGATCTAGACAGGCATGGCCTACATCCCACACCAGACAAGGTGAAGGCGATTCCAAAAGCGCCTAAACCCAACAACGTGACACAGCTAAAGGCATTTTTGGGAATGGCAAAATTTTATGCCAAATTTTCTCCTAGGCTAGCAAATGTGCTAGAACCCCTGCACCAGTTGCTGCGTACGGGCAGCATTTGGAAGTGGCCAAGTGAATGTGACGAAAGTTTTGAGCGATGTAAACAGATGCTAAGCCAAGACACGGTTTTCCAACTGTATGGCGTAACAAAGCCAATTCAGTTGACGTGTTATGCATGAGACTACGGCTTGGGTGCAGTACTGTCGCACATCGTAGACGGGGTAGAACGACCAATTTAGTTCACGTCACGGTCCTTGACTCCTGCCGAGCGTAACTATGCGCATATTGAAAAAGAAGCTCTAGCCATAGTATTTGGAATTGAGAAATTTCATATATAAGTACCTCTATGGTCGCGACTTCAACGTGATGGCAGATGGCCAGCCACTCACGGTGATCTTCGATGTCAAACATCACACAAGTGCGGTAGATGCAGCTCGAGAGCATCGCTGGGACCTGTTTCTAGCGAATTATCGGTTTCGTATTCTGTACAAAGCAGGAAAAAGATCAGCAACGCCGATGGCTTGTCGCGCCTACGACTGTCAAATACCATGGACGAAGCAGAGGAAATTTTTTACTTTTCGCCTTTCAAAGAGCTGCCGATAACTGCAAAAGACATTGATCGAGAAACAACGAAAGATCCAGTCCTGAGCGTGGTACGCTACATGACATGGCGTGGCTGACCACAGGCTGTAGACGACAAATACCAGCCTTTCTTCGTAAGGCGATTTGAACTTTCCGTGGATGACGGTTGCCTAGTTTGGACTAACCGAGTGGTGGTTCCGAAGTCTGTCGAAAGTGAAGTAGTGTCATTGTTGCATGAACTGCATATTGGCACAACCAAAATGAAGGCACTTGCAAGGTCGATGGTGTGGTGGCCTAGGATCGACAGTCGCCGTGAGGAGACTGCGAAACAGTGTGAAATTTGTCAATGCGTAAGATCCGCTGAACAGGCCACACCCTTGACACATTGGAAGTGGTGCACAAACAGTTGGGAAAGGGTGCTTCGTGTCTTCGCTGAAAAGTAAAGCAAGATGTTTCTAGTTGCTGGCGACTCGTACTCTAAATGGCTAGAGGTAATAATAATGACATTGACGACTGCAAAGAAAACTGTCGAAACAGTCCGGTCATTGTTTGCACACCATGGCATTCAAACTGAGGTTATTTCAAATAACGGACCACAGTTCCGAGCGAAAGAGTTCGAGGATTTCTTGTTGGCAAACGGAGTAAAGCATACACTGACCCCTTCGTATCATACCCAATCGAACAGTTCAGCAGAACGCGCAGTTCAAACGGTAAAGCTGTCGCTGCTGAAGCAGTTATTAGATGATGAACGAAACAAAAGCCCGAGGTCCCTTCAGCACAGGGTTGACAACTTTCTGTTCGCGTACAGAACGACGCCTCACACCTTCACGGGGAAGACTCCTGCCGAACTGTTTTTGAAACGTAAACTTCGTACAACGCTGTCTTTGATAAAGCCAAACACTGAGGCAGCAATAAAAGCAAAGTCTGAGAGGGAGGTGTGTAGCACGAACAAGCGCCGAGGCCCGGTGAGAGTATTTTCCGTATGGGATCGCGCACTCGTAAGTACGGCGCGTGGTGAACTTGCAAAATGGCTGCAAGGAAAAATCACGGAAGTGATATCGGCCATGACGTACTTAGTCTTCGTTGACAGACGAATACGGTTTTTACATGCAGATCTGCGACGTTCGTTTCTGCTGCCTGATGACTCAGCCGAAATGTCTGATTGCCAGATGGAATTGACGCATGGTAGTGACATGCCGAAAGACGAGCGTCATGTCGAACCTGACCGAACACAGTCTGCAGCCGATGTAAGTGCAGATCAAGTGTCGCCGCGTAGTACTCAAATGGCCTCATCACCAAGACCGGTTGATGCATCGTCACCTGTAGTACGTAGAGCCACTAAATGAGCGGCGCTTAGAGTACCGGCACTCCGTTCCCCGACATTGTTGTGGGCGCCGCCATTTTGGGACTCGTGCAGAGCAGACGCATCTGCCGATCGTCATGATTCAAAAGTGAGCCTTTTCCAGCATTAGATTTGGTGTTAGGAAGCTCATGTAATATTGCTTTGCTTTATCGCGAACTATTTGAACATTTATGGAGGAGAAAAAATCGTTTCCTGTGATTTCAGATAAAGCTTCAGATAACTGGCAACCTTGATTTTAAGCCACATTACGGCCAAGTGTCGTTACTCTGAAGCGTAACTTATTTAGTGGCACTAGTAGTACGTATAGATGTAGCATCCGTGCGGCGCGCAGGCTTATGTACGAAAAGTTTTAATCTTGTTTGTGGGGAAGTGTTGTATCAGAGCATGACTCATATTCCTGGTGTCGTACCGCCACGCGCTTTTGGTTTCCTGTATTGATCGCTCGTGACGTTCATCTGCTCGTAATCGGTGCTACCACTAAAAGGGCGCACCGAAGTACTGTTGTACTATTCTGTTGTTGTGCGAGCTGGGACTGATGTGAAACGACGATGACGATGTGTGTCTGACGGTTGGAACGCAGTGCTTTTTTCCTTGTATGCACAGTTTTCTAGTTGGATGTCTGAGTGAGTAATTGGTTGACTCAGACTGAGTTTCTTAATTACAATATTTTCCTTAAAATCTTTTTGGTTGACAGCTGTAATTATTTCAACCGTAAAAAGGAGAATGGTCGAAAAGCTCTTAACTAGATTCACCCAAAGCTCGCTAAACATTTCGTAGCATATCCTCCTGAAACTTACGTGAATAAGATGTTCACATAATCAGCAAAGCCAATTTTGTCTTTGATGCTTTCTTCGACAACGAAATTTGATCTGTTTATATGTGATATATTATTAGGGGCCAATTGAAAACATGTATTACTGGGCTTTCCACTACCTACATCATTCGATCCTATAAGCTTCTTCCGGTCGTCATAGTGTTCCCGCGGGAAAAAAGACATGGCAACCACATTTCACCAAAGCGTGGTGGCGAGCCACTTCTTGACGTGGTTTCGGTTTGTTTTTGGCCAAAGAATGACTCCAAATGTTCAGCGATCCATCTCGGCCGTTGAGATTAATATTGAGCAAAGAGAAAATAAATTACCGAGAGCGTGTTCAAATTGTCTTTTCAAAATTGTGCCAAATTGTTACAATATGTGTGACTAAAATTACACACAATGTAATAATTAAAGCTTAGTTGACGTTTAAGCATTTCAAATCCTTTTCCCCCGTTTACACGGGACCGGAGGCCGTAACCCTAAACTCGCGTTTCAGAAAACGTCTTGTATATTTGTTTGAAACAATCGTGTCTTTTTGTTACCAGTTTATTTATCGTTGAGCAGTTATTTTGTCAGTTAAATTTTGAGCTGAAACAATTGTACCCAAGAAAATCACGAAAAAATAAAGAATATCCGTAATTACCCTATTGAAAAAACCAGCTTAAGCTGGTCCCAGCTTCAAGCTGGGTTATTGCCCCAGCATGCCCAGCTTGGCATGCTGGTCATGCTGGTTGATCTGGTCATACTGGTCATGATGGTTGATCTGGTCCCAGCTTCAAGCTGGGTTATTGCCCCAGCATGCCCAGTTTGGCATGCTGGTCATGCTGTTAAACTGGTCATGCTGGTGAACTTCCCAACCAGTTTAACCTGTTTAAATTAATACACAGAATAAAAAAGCCAAGCTCGTCAGAAAAGCCAACTCGGCATCCAATTTATTATTTTCGTACTTGCGGCAGCCTCACATGAACTCAAATGCTACACATCCTCGGCGCTGACACTAGTACTAACCGACGCACAGATTCTCGGTGCAAATTGTCTACAATGTTAATAAAACCAGATTGCTTATCTCTCAACACGAAAAAAATACTAGACACAGGCCAAAAACAGGCAATAGCAGACGAAAATACTACACGGACGAGAGAAGCGAACCTGGGTCCCGCCAGCGATGGGGGCGAAGCGGCAACTTGCGTGGTCGGCAGAGGCGAGGAAATCCGTGTGGCTTGGATGGCATTGGCGATACTCCTCGGCACCGCCGTCATTCTTGGGCACACACACGTTCGAAGACACGAAGCGACGCCGCAGTCGGGACGTCTGACATCTTCCCGCACTGAACGGACTGCCGCTCGCTGTCTTCTCAAAACCCGCTTCGCTTGCACCGTCGTTCAACTAGTCTCCAAACAACGCGCACACAGCCGTCCCTTCGATCTGCCCTCTGCCCAAGCTATCCAAACGCGTCTTCGATTCTCCGTTTCTACCACTCTCTCTCTCTCTCTCTCTTTTCTCGCACACAAAGGTAGCTTGCAGCGCGCCTGACGCGCCCGGTGGTCTACCAAAAACGAGAGGACAAAGAACAGGACGTGGCCTCGTTCCAGCAGCCGACCTTGTCGCGCGCGCTCCCAGCAATGCCAGTTCGGCTATCTCTAGCCGACCTTGGCGTGCGCGCTCCCAGCATGACCAGCTTGACCACCACGATTATTATTTCGACCAGATTCACCAGCTTGTCTCCCAGCATGACCAGCTCGTCTCCCAGCTTGACCACATTGGCTCCATGGAAAACCAGTTTGACCAGTTAAGACCAGACTGGCTCCCAGCTACACCAGATTGAATCTAAAACCAGATTCGAGTGAGACCATGCTGGTTTTTACTTAGACCAGACTGACCAGCTTAAATTCCAGCTTGCCCAGCTTAAACCAGCTTGATTGCCAGCTAAACCAGTTTAATTACCACATTGACCAGTTTGACCACCTTGATTACCAGCTTGACCACCTTAATTACCAGCTTGACCAGTTTGATTTTCATGCTGGTTTTTCCAATAGGGTATGAATAGAAATGCATTTATCGTTGCTGACATATTAAGAACCTTCGGGCATGATGTATTATATCCACGATTCTTGCTTTGCGATTCGTTCTTCGGCGCTCTGATCGGCTAAGGCAGCAGTGTCATTGGCTCTGACGCGATGATAAACTGCTCGGGACCCACTACGCTTTGGGTTACTCTACTGCCAGCGACTATTGTTGTGTTTTTAGCGGAATACGTCCTTCAAAACCGTTCAACGGTAACAAACCACTTATTTACTGAGCGAGATATTTACATTGTACAATACAGTCAAGGGAAGCACTGATCATGCAGCTCAACAGCCGAGCTCCGTCTCGCGCCACCCACCCGTTCCTCTCGTGCCTCTGCCGATCTCGGATCTTCCTTTTTGTTCTTTCTTGCACTACCAGAGGTCTTTTGAAATCCACAACAACTATAATATAAATTAAGAATTGCGCTGGTCAAATGCTAAACTAAATTCCGCCATTTAACTAAAAAAAACACACTCGATGCTTGTTCAAATGCTTATTCCACGACTTACTTTGGGCTGAGGTAAAACTCGAAGAAATACTGGGTAGGGTTGACGAATCCAATCTGCAGCACATCTTCTGGATTGTGGGCGATTTCTCCGAGGTTTCCTCCAACCAGAAGAAGGTCCCTTAGCTCGTCAATCTGCAATGCACACGCGCTGGTTTTTATACCAAAGATCAGGAATGAATATGGCTTAATCAGTTCTTTTTAAAAAAATTATTAAAAAGAGAAGACATGACTGTATTTGAATAAAAGTAAAGACTTCAGTAGTTTAAACAAAACAATTTCCACTTCAAGCTAGGGTTTCCACTTCCACCTTAACCCTTGACAGAAGTGAGAGAGTGCAGGCGAGCTGGTTAGGAAACGACATCTCAGGGTATACAAGTATGTGGTTTAACCTTAAATTTCTTTGTATGTACGCAACATGAAATGCAAACATCAAACGGGAGAGTGTGATAGGCTATCTTATTTACAGAACAACATGATAAAGTAGAAGAAAATTACTAGAAACAGCCGCCTTTTAATGCATATTTACGTTTTACGAAGTTTTAAATTTAGTGCTAAACTAACTGATCAGATTCGTAGGCTAATAAATTTAAGCTGAGAAGTGAATTTTTCTACCTTGATTTCACAAAAAGTTCTTTAAAATCCAGAAAATTGATATAGCTATGGGGGAGTATTAGCTCCAGCTTAATATTAAAAAAAGAAGTGTACTTTCATTTATTGAGTGTTTATTTATGAAGTTAAGTCATAAAGCTCCAGTCTATTACAACCTCTCTCATCATTACTCTCCCACCACAAAATGCGTCGAGCGATAAATGGTATTACGTTAAACTCTTGTGGTTCTGGGTTCATGACACAAAATGTGCGTCACCAGACTAGCCGAAACATCCAGTTAAACCACATGTTCCTAGGCATTCATAATTAGCCCTCGAAATATTTGGTACGCTTTAAACACAACATAAAATTGGAAGTTCGTCTCCTGGTTATACCTACAGGACGTAGATCTACCCAGACCTGTGTTGCACGATACGATCAAGGAGCAATTCCTTGCTTAAAAGTATAACTCACTTACTAAATGTAGAATTTGATGTAATTGCCATTAGCAGAACTTTATTAATGATCAACTTCCACTCGGAGAAAGCATGATTCTATCTACTCCCTTTATTATTCTCAAGCAACCATTATAATTTTTGTTTTAATTTAACATAGTATGTTGAATCGCGTAGTGCGTGCCACCAACACAGACCTTTAGATATCATCCCCCCTATTCGTTATGCCGTGATTTTCATTAAGTATTATCGCTCGGTATATAAATAATTTGATCCACCCATTTTGTTTTTTTGGTGGACGTATTTTTTCTCCAGCTGTTCATCCTTATGAGGTAGCCTAGCTTTCGAAGACTCCGAGGAAGTGAATACAGCTGTATACAATGATATATCTTGAAATCTTAAAACGAGAGAACCAGGTTTTCGTTTTACGTACGTTGGTTGAATTAACGTCGCAGTAATCCGCATACAACTCACACAGCTTGGTTTTGCTGATCCTGCAAACCACGTTTCGGAGACAGTAATTATAAGACGAACATTTCATCACAAACTCAAACAAAAGAAAGTGTAAAATGAGCCTCTCACGCACGTGAGAGCTGAGTTTAAGTTTTTCGAATTAAAAACTACGGGCTTTGAGATAGCTAAATTTATCTTAGTGCTAAAGGAGGAACGTAAAACATCATGGTGTAATTTGAACTGAATTTAAAAAAAAAAAAATATTGTTTTCAGAGCTTCTCTTGAAGCGAGAATCAAACGCAATAAAACGGCAATGAAAAGTGATCGAACTTGCTTTTTTTACTATGTTTTCTAGAAGCCTAAATGATTTAACCAAAAGTTATAGCTATCGCAATCTTAGCACCCGTCGTTGTTAACGAAGTTCCTACGTAGGATTTAAGGCAAATGATTAAACGGAATATAGATTGTGTTGTACTAACGTCGGGATTACGGCCTTTGATAATAGACGCTTTGCAGCAGCTGTGCATGGACGCCGCCATAACTGACCTTCAGTTTTTGTTTCCTCTTATTTCGTTTATTTCACTTCATTACCATTACAGCTAGGCCAGGTTATTGCTATATTAGGTTCAACTGTGTCCTTTTCTAAAGCACCGGCCTTTGTAGAGGATCGTCAACTATGGTTTCAGTTGCTCGGCATCTCGGTAAAACAAGAGAAGGTCAGCAATGGCAGCTGTAATTTGGCGCGTGTGTAAAGCGTCCATATAACGCTGTGCGTCCTAACTATAATTTTGACAATATGCTTCACTTAAGACGTTATGTGCAGATTCCTTAATGAGCACGGATAAAAGCATATGACTTTGCAAAACAGCTCGTTCTCGCACTCGCAAAAAGCAAACGTTTTCGTGAACCCAACCTACGTGCTCCTGTCTTTGCTAGCGCTTCAGAGAATACTTGAGATGGAGATCAGAAAAAAAGGCAAAAAGTACCAAACTCTTCGCTGTTCTTCCACTAAGCGAAAATATGCTTAGAAGATCCGCTTTATCAAAACAAATTCCCGAATTCTTAGTTCTTGGTTCATTTAGTGTAGAATGCTGAGTGGTGAGCAAAGAGAAGACACAACGACCGACCAGTTGGTTACGCAGATGGAAAGGCCCGGAAAGAGGAGCACCTCGGTGCCCTCAATGCGGACGTCAACGGCACTCGGGTAGCTGAGGTACTGTTCCACAACCCTGGACGCCTGGTACAGGAAGCCCAGCACCATCAGCAAGAACACTCCGATGCGTAAGAACAGAACCCGACGCTGGAATCTACAAAAGGGGAGAAGGTCCTGGTGACACCTTGTAGAAGCAGTGTCATGGCTTTTCAATCATTTCAAGATTGCACGTCCATCCTTCCAATAAATAGTTGACTACTCAGTGGTATCCCATTGCGTCTTTTAATTGAGCTCTCTAGAACTGGATGCTTTGGGACCGAATCTGCTATTCTGATAAAACACAAGTCGATGAATGAGTTCTTCTCGCCCTGTACTAAAACATTTCGCACGGTTGGGTCATTACTTTAGAATCTTACGCTCTAATAGGGGTTTTGCGATTGTGTTGTGCCGTGCGACGTAGCCTTACTACGTCAATCCGGAAACACACGAAAGTTATTGTGAGACATTCCAAGAGATTTTCCCCAAGGTATACCTACTAACTCCCTTTGTTTGTAGATATAGTTATAGTTCCATAAGTTGATGCAAGAAAATCTGACACCTGGCAATTAATCGCGGAAAAAAAGAACTAGAACTTTGTTTTCCTTGCAGCCAAATGAGTTGTAACGCGGAAGCGTTTGGGATCCTTTGCCTGCTCGGCCACCGAGCTTGGCACTTTCGGTTTACCATAACGGAGCACCACACCAATTCTTCCTAGGCACCCGGATGTTTCTTCCTATTAGATATGGCGAAAACTGGGTCGCTGCACGCTGCAACTACGCGCAGGTCATATGTGCTGCCGTCACATCATACGGATTACACGAGACTTAAGACCCTTTATCATTGCGAAATGTAACATGAATTCAATTGCATCTTTTAATATCACGGATTTTATAATAATTCAGATGGCTGGAGTCTCTTCAGTTATGTCGTTTTTTTATCGTATAAAATAGAGAGTTACAAAGCCACAGATGGGGACTTACCTTTTAATATTTTTTTCTGTACGTGCGCCCCCAGCCATGCCAGTTGCCCTGAGTTAAAAAAGGGGAGATATAAATTGACTGTATCCATTGCAATAACACATTTATTGAAAACGTATGTGATAGGTTTAAACAATTAGTTTACATCTAGGTGGGTCACCATGATGATAGCTACATCGTAAGATGAGTAAACGAGGTGATTCAGGATCACACAAGAAAGAAATATAACAAAAAGTTAAATTACGAAAGTTTATATATGAAGTAGTTAGGCTAAGTACAACTCTGCTCATTTAGTGCGTCTGATCCGCGGCTTTTTAAAGAACCGAGTTTCATAAACATCATTGATCGAGCACCAATTTTTATATTTATAAAACGTTTGCAATATGTGTAGCCAAAATTGTAAGAGGCGCAAACAAAATATCTCGCGTATGTGGCACAAGCTACATACGCAAGAATGTGGCTCATTCCAGTCCTTGACTGTCCTAACAAAGAAAACGAATTCTTGCACAGATCTGTGCTTGTACTTTATTATCATATTTTATGAACATGTTTTTTTGATAAGAATTATTATTTTCGTTTAAAGGGCAACGTGGGATATTGATACTGGTAGCTTCATGGTAAATCTTATAAAAATTAAATGTGAGTTTACGCTTCCCACATTGAATGAGCGTTTCAGTGTTTATTGTTACTTATCAATGCTCATTGTTTCTTTTTTATTGTTTCATTGTTACCACCTCCAGGACAAAAATATACAGAGTAGCTAAATTTAATTCGAGCAAGTAAAAAAAAGGAATAAAAAAAAAAGGGGGGGGGGTTGGTGAAAGTTAGACAAGTGCCATCTTACCCGCTTATTTATCAGGCTCGGCGGACATTAGATGAAGTGATAATTTTCAGGGTAATTTAGCTGATTTACTAAAATATAGTAATTAACTTTGTAGATATTGGTTTTAGAAGTTAAGTTGTAATTGCAGTGTTGACGGAATTACTATTAGAAGCAGGACCAATCGAAAGAATGTAGGAATTAGTAATGACTTTTGAGATCTTCATTGACGTACTTTCGCGTTCTTCCCCCGATTTTAAAATGACGTTTCACAAGCACTGCCCACGATGGCGCTTGAAAAAGTGGCTAGTCGTTTCACTGATATCCACACTATCACGGCAGAGCGTCCTAGGTGGCGATGGCGACGACGCAAGTGACGGCGTGATTGAAACGACTACGTTAGTCCTCAAGGCATCATTATGGGCAGGGGCTGCGGCGCTTTTATCGCACGCAATACTTTTAAAATAAAAAGCAAACGCGAAAATGTTTTTGTTTTTTTCAAATAAAAAAATCATTCCCCTTTGTTAATATTAAAAAAAAAGAATCAAACTGGCGTTGTATAGTAGTTTTTTTTTTTCGATACCGCTATTGCAATATGACCCCTAAAACCAATTGTAGGAATGTAATGAACAAAGTTTATTTAGTCAACTTGCCGTGTCGATTATCTCGTCATCCAACGTATACCGAACCTGATAAATACACAACGAAGACGTTCTTACTATAGCTTTTGCCACCTTTAAAAAGAATTGAATTATATTTAGGTACCTTGTATATTAAACCAAATGTACGAACACATTACGGACCACAAAGCTTCGCCTATCAGGTACATCAATTTCGAAAAAAAAAGTATGTAGACGTTGAATAAAATATTATGAAAGCTGAATCTATTCTTTGTTCAAACACAAATAAAAAACAGTTTTTTTTTGTCGAGTTCCTGTTTAATATTTTAAACCTGTTTTTGTGTTGTGTTGAATAAATATTGTGTACAGATAAATGTTTGTAGGGTCAGTGATGCCTCCTGTATGCATTGTTGTTCTGTTTTTATAAGTATTTTCCCGTTTACATTGTATGACTTGTGTCAATATGTCCACCAATCTTTTGTGATTAGTTTTCGAAGCCTTTATGTTCATGTCACTTTTTACAGCGGAGCTGTTAAGGGATAGTTTCCCCAGGACATGTGTCCCCCGCAAAGAAATGATGACACAAAACTCTGGACAGCTACCCTTATCTGTGAGCGACGGTTGCAACCCACGTATCTGATTGCAGCCGTCGCTCATAGATGGCGGCAGCCTTTCCACTCCGACTTCCCGACTTGCGGCTGGCAATTACTTTCTATTGTACAGCTCCGCTGGTTTGCCCTCTTCACCAAGAAGAACAGGCTGAACGTTTTTGTTTTTATTTTCCTCCCCGCCCGATAAGCCCTGTGTAAGGCTGTAGAAGACTCGTGAAGCAGCTTTATAGTTCGCCTTTTGTTCCATCAACCATGACTGAAAGAAAGGTTTCTACTGACTGCCCAAACATATCAAATTTATGAAAACAAATATACGTGAGTTGATTTTAAGTTTTTTGCGATCAAAAAGCAAAGGTAGAATATTTTATTGATTTAGTTAGTTGGTTTATGGAAACAATATTTAATTTCTTTTCTTTACCATTAAAGGCCCTGGAGGGCAGTAGATAAGACGAGAGGAAAAGAGAGGGGGAGGCGAAAAAGCATGGCACTAAATCAGAACGAAGCACAGCTTACAACTATTGCAGCCTATGCGCGCAGTAGCAGAAATCCATTTGAACGCTTCCCGAACCTTCCTTTAAAAGTTTGACAAAGTTGAACTTGTCGAAGTCGAACCTCAGAACTTTCTCGACATCCCCAGTTGATGCAAGATGAAGGTTGGAATTTTCCCCGTCTTATTCAAAGATATGTAGTTGAAATCCAAGTTTTACGGCACAGGTTGGGGTCACACAGCAGATTTTATCACACGAGTCGTTTTAATAATAAACATCAGCTGCAAACAAAAGGAAACTGAGTGATCCTGTGTTGGCTTTAACCACGAGTAGTATTTAAAAATCAGTACATAAATAAAAATAGAATGGAAGGCGAATGGAATGAGAAAAGGAACAAGAAGAAGAACATACTTAAATTAAATATCGCGGAAGCAATGTGTTGATAAAGTTTAATCTGAGTTTTTTTTTGTTGTTTTTTGTATCGGCGTTTTCCCAAAAAAGAACAACAACAATTCTAATTTTTTTTTTATACCGCAAAATAAACTACGCATTGCCGAATACTCAGTCACTGCGCAAATGTAGCAATATCGGTCAAAAGCCGATGCTACATTTTTAAAACTGACCGTTACCTCATCCAGAAATTGATTTTCTTAGGCTTCCAAAGGAAAAACAGGGACCCGTTCGCGGTAGCCGGCGCTTTTGCTGACGCCATTAGCTTCAATATATTCGTGAGCTTCGTTGACAGGCATTTTCTTGTTGAGAATTTTCGAAATAACCTTTAACTTTTGAATCATTTTACAAAAAGCTGTGAAACTTTGGCTTCTGTTCTGAACTATAGTGAAGTGTTAATTTGAGCTGGTTGGTACATCACTAAGATTAAACAGTGCAAGAACCTTTCCTCTTCCTCCGACGTTTTGTGCGCTCTTTAATCTTAGTGTTACGAACGACTAGCGCTGCATTTGAACGAAGGTTAAACATTCGACGGTGCTTAGTTTGTTTTTGTGGTGAAAAGAAAGCAATCGATTGTTTTCATGGACGTGTATTCGCCTGCGACATTAAAGGGGTACTCCACCGATTTTTTGAGCTACCTCAACTATCTATATTTTCTGACTCCCCAGCCTTTACTCTCTCCGGTATGCTATTTAGAATCGCAAAATTCATAATAGGTATTGTGAAATCGGCAAACGAAAATGATGCAAAAACCAACATTCAAATATACGCGCACTTTTCAGTGCCGTGACGTCAGTGGCAGGCAGGCTTGCCAGTCGAGCAAGCAGCCAAAAAATAGAATATGCCAATCATTTGTTCCGTGCTGGAGCGCGGGTACTGCAGCGAGCTTCACAAGCATTCATTTGACACCATGAAACTGCTTCGAATCAGTTTAAAACAAAATCTACAGCCCAAAGAGTGAACCCCTGCACTTCCACTGACGTCACTTTTTCGTTGTTGCCAGTAGAGACTTCGAGCTTGAAAAACACGGTGACGGCCAAAGCTGTAAATTCAATAACTTCGCGAAAAAACAATATTTTGACCTAATATTTGGGATACTATTTTCGCGATGTTTGTTGGTTAGTTTAGAAAAATTTCAAGCAAATCGGAGACAATAAAAAACCTGTGGAGTATCCCTTTAATATTCAAATTTGTATTGTTGGCAGGGATGTCTCTATTTCGAAACGTAAAAGTGCTTCTTTGGCATTGCGTTCATTCTTAGCAGATGCTTACACAACGAACAGATGCTCCATTATTGCTGATAAAGGGAGGTTCGGTGCCCAGGTGGGCTAACGCACACCAGCTCGGAGCACGTGGAGCGAAAGCTCGCGCTGCAGAACCCATAGATCCTGGTCTCAACCCCACCCCTGCCCGTTTCGATCTGGATGAGCGTCATACCGGCGTACGGTCGTGTACCACTACTGCGTGGTACAGGTTAAAGACCTCAGGCTAGCGGTTGTACTGAACTGGCAAAATTTTTCATCTACAGTTAGTCACTCCTCGCATCTTTGAAATGGTTGACCAACTACACGCTGTCTAAATATCACCACCACAATTATTATAATGTTGCTGATACTTTAGTCAGCCCCTATGGTCAGTTGTCATCAAGGCTGCATTCGCCGCAGTTGCGTGGTACGTGTCGTGTGTCATAAAGTGTCCCACAGAATGACCATAAAATTTGTTCTTATCTTAGAAAGGTAGCTTATGGTATATGTTAGTTCGAGACTAAAACAACGCATATCGGTCTTTAAGGGGCCTTGAAACTATATTGGGTAGGAATGTTTCTCACTTTATACAAGCTCATTGGCACTAGTGTACCCAAAGTAACCTCGCACGCAACGCCTCTGGCCAAGAAGGTTTTTTGTCCCTGCGTAGTTTCAAGGATAAAAGAGGACGTTTTCTTTTAGTTTCTCTCCTTTGCAAAACTTGACGGCAAAGTTGCGGGGATCGCATTGTTGGCGTTGTCAACAATTCGATCCCCAGGATTTTGCCATCAAGTTTTGCGATCCCCGC